AGTTTTAATTTTTAGAAATAAATTATTAAATTTCAGAATTTAAAATTTTTTAAATTTTATTTCCTGGTGAAAAAAGAAATAAGAAGTATTTAAATATTTTATTTAGCAAAATTATACAAGTTTTGATTTATTGAATTTAGAAATCAGTGAAGAATCAGGGAAATACAAAATTTTTGTGACAACACTAAATTAAATAAACGACTTTTTCGACTTTTTTTCTATTTTTAATCGACTAAAGCGACTTTTTTTGTTTGTTAAAGTAAAAAAGAATTTTGTCAGGGAAAATAATTTTAATGTCAGTAAATTATCAGGGAAATTGATAAACAGAAACTTGTGACCATCTTGATTTTATTTAGAAAATTATGTTTTTAGTTTTTATTAATATAGGTACAATTTTTTTTGATAAAGTTTTACAACGTTTATAATCAACGATTGAGAAATAAAAATATTTTTTTCTACGCCAACTTTTTTAAATCTTTATTTGTACAAAATTTACTTTTTTCATTGTGAAAAAAAAAATTTTTATTCAATCGTTGATCATATAATATAAGCCTTGTAAATTGTAAACGTCATAATTCTTGAGAAAAATAAATTTCAATTTTCATTTGTATTTAAATTATACTTTATTCTACGAATTTGGAATTTTTATTATCGAATATATTTTTCAGTGTGGCCGCAAGTCAGGGAAAAGTCATGGAATTTCTCAAAAAATTCTTGAAAAGTCAGAGAATTTTAATCGAAAGCAACCACAAATTAAAAAACTTTAAGGAAGAATCCGACAAAGAATCGAAATAAAAGTGAGTCCAATATTATAATTTCGTATTTTATATGAAAAAAATAAATATTTTAAATTCAATTTTTGAAAATGTGAAAAATTTAATTTTCAGCATTTTAAAGAATTAAAAGTTGAATTTGAATAAAAATTACAATTTTCTGCTAATAAGAAACACATTAGAGAACATAATCGAAAATTTAACAAATATTTCTTAATATATGACAGGAATTTGTAATTTTTGTTCAAATTGAACTTTTAATTTTTTAAATTGTTGGAGATTAAATTCTTTACCCTTCGAGTGAAAGAAATTTAAAATTTAATTTATCTTTATCTAGCAAAATACGAAAGTATGACATTGGACTAACTTTTGTTTTGACTGTACGTTAGATTCTTCCTCAAAGTCACTGCTTAGATTGGACGTTTTTTATTTGCTTTGCTTTTCATAATGAAAGTTTTAAACAAATTCTTAATTATCTCGTACTTTCCTTTATAAATAAAATTTCTATTTAAAAATTAATATAGAAAAATTTTAATCAGCAATGCAGAATTTAAAATAATTCAAAGCAAAAATTTGTGAAAAAATCTTTAAATGGAAAATTAAAAATGATAATTAATGAACATTAGCTTCTAAAAATTATATCAAAATATTTTTAAAAAAAGTAATTCGTGGAATTGTATTATCATAATTTTTTAGAATTAAATTTTTTCCCAATATTTTCAATTATAAAATTCTAAAATTCAAATACATGCTAAAAATATCATTAAAATTTTTAGAATTATTTTGAATATTTTGGAAAAAAATAATTTTCAAAATTTTTAACTAAAAGTCTTCAAAAATTTTTTTAAATTATACAAAAATTCTTTTAAAAAATTCAATTATTTTCGACAATTCAATTATTTTTAGAAGATTTTACCAAATTTCAATTTTTTGTAAATTTTTCAATAGAATAATTGAAAAACTATTATCTTTAAAATATTTAAAAATTAATTTTTAAAATTTTGTTACTGCATTTTTTTAAAAATAATAAATTTTAATAACTTTTAAAAGAAAACATGGACAATTTCAGTTCTAATTATTATAAAAAATGTAATTTTTGTATTTGAACTTTCGGAAAATCGTTAAAAAACTAATTAATTTAAAGATGAAGTTTTGTTAAAAATTGTAGAAAATTGAATTTTGAAAGGGATAGTAATAGTTGTAATTTTTAGAAATTATTAATTTTCATAAGGTTTTAAGTTGAACTTTTTTTAAATTTATTTCCCGTGGAAAAGCAAATGAGAAGTATTTAAATATGCATTCAACCAAATTATTCAAGTTTTGAATAATTGAATTTAGAAATCAGTGAAAGGTCAGGGAAATAGAAAATAAAATTTTTGTGACATCACTGAATTAAATAAACGACTTTTTCTACTTTTTTTTATATTTTTAATAATCGAATAAAGCGACTTTTAAAATTTGATAGAAAAAGAACGAAAGTTAGTAAATTGTACGATATAATTTGGAGAATTTTAGAGAAGTTACAAATAATTTCAAAAATTCAATTATTTTCAAAACTAATAAATTTCTTCGCAGTAATTCAATTATTTTTGAAAATTTTAATAAAATTCTTTGCAAGTATTCAATTATTTTCATAAATAATAAAATTCATCGCAGGATTTCAATTAATTTTAATAAGATTTTACAGGAATTTCTCGAAAAATGTAATTATTCTTAAAAATTTTATTAAAATTCGTCGAAAGAATTCAATTATTTAAAAATTTGTTGATAAAATACTTTATAAGAATTCAATGTTAAGAAATATTCAATTATTCAATAAATTATTTATTTTTGTATCTAAATAATTGAATTCTCGTAGAATTTTATAATAAAAAATTATTTAAAAATGAACTTTAGTTAAAATTTAAGATAATATTATTAAAAGCATTAATATAGTGTGAATTTTTAGAAATAATTTAATTATGAAAAGGTTTCAAATTAAATTCTTTGAAAATTTGAATTTTTTATACTTTTAATTAACAATTTTGTAGAAAAATTAATTTTTTTGGAAAAGTTTATTTCAATTTTACTTGAAATTATATTTTTGACGTGCCGAATAATTGAAATTTTTGAAAATTGAATTGTAAACAAATGAATTTAAAAATTCTCAAAGAACTTTTTTTCAATAATTACTAAAAATTATGGATTTATAGAAGAATTTTAGTTAAAAACACGAAAAGAAAATTTAATTTTTAAAAAAATATCAAATTATTTCAGAAATTAAATTATTTTCAAGAGTAATAAAATTCTTCACAGAAATTTAATTATGTTCAAAAATAATACAATTTTTTTTAGGATTTCAATTATTTTCCTAAATAATAAAATTCTTTATAGGCTTTCAATTATTTTTAATGCAATTTTAATTTAATTTCTCGAAAAATGTAATGATTCTTAAAAATTTTATTGAAATTCATCAAAGAAATTTAATTATTTTTAATATCTACTATTTCAATAAAATTTCACAAAAGAAATCAATTATTTAAAAAGAAATATTAAAATTCGTTTCAAAGTTTCAATTATCTTTATAAATAATAAAATTCATCTCCGAAATTAAATTATTTTCAAAAAATTTTTAATAAAATTCTTGGAAAAATTTAATTTATTTTCAAAAATTTTCCTCATTTCCATTATTTTTAATATCTACTATTTTAATTATTTATTTATTTTTTTAATAAAGTTTCTCGAAAGAATTCAAATATGTTCAGAGAATTAAAAAAATAGTTCTGAGAAATTTAATTATTTCGAAAAATTTAAATAAAATTCTTTTAAAAATTCTATTATTTAAAAAAATTTTGACAAAATTCTTTACAAGATTTAGTTAATAAAACTGCAATTTTAATAAAATTTTCCTAAAGAATTCAATTATTTTCAATACAATTCTTCTTAAGAATTTAATTATTTTCACAAATAATACACTTTTTATGGGAATTTAATTATTTAAAAGAATTTGAATAAAATTCTTCGCAAGAAATAAATTATTTTCAAAAATTTTAATAAAATTCTTGGCAAAATTTCAATTAATTTCAAGCATTTTACTGAATTCAATGATTTTTAATATCTACGATGATAATAACATTTTCCAAAAAATTCAATTATTTAAAAAAAGGTTGATCAAATTCTACGCACATATTTCATTATTTTCATTAATAATAAAAATTCCACAGGAATTTAATTATTTACAATTTTTTTTTATAAATTTCTTGGCAATAATTTAATTAGTTTCATAAATAATAAAGAAATTTTACACGGATTCCATTATTTTCTTAAATAATAAAACTCATTGGAGAATTTAAATAATTTTTAATACAATTTTAAAAGAATTCCTCTAAAAATGTTATTTTTCTTAAAAATTTTCCAATAAAAATTGATTTAAAGATTAATATTACAGTTCAAATTTTAGATTATGTTAAAAATTTTTTAAATTCTCTTCAAAATTTGAATTATCTTTATAGATAATACAATTCTTCTTTGTAACTCAATTATTTTCAAAAATTGTAATAATATTCTTGGCAAGATTTCAATTATTTTTAAAAACTTTCCTGAATTCAATGATTTTCAATTTCTATTTGATTAAAATTTTCCAAAAGAATTCAATTATTTAAAGAAAATATTGATAAATTTCTACTGAAACATTGAATTATTCAATAAATTATTTATTTTTGTACCTATTTAAATAATAATAAAAATTGCTTTAAAAATGAATTTTAGTTAAAATTTTAGATAATAATTGAACATTAAAAGTATTAAAGCTTGATTTTATAGAAATAATTGAATTTTGAAAATGTTTCAAATTTAAAACGTTTGAAAATTGGAATTTTCCATATACTTTTAACTATGAATTTCGTAGAATTAATTTTTTTAAAAAAGTTTAATTTAATTTTTTTGAAATTATTTCAAGTTTTTATTTTCTAACATACAATTGAAGAATAATCGATGAAATTTCGTAAAATTGAATGATAAACAAATGGATTTGAAAATTGTCAAAGAATTTTTTAAAAAATTATTAAAAATAGTTGATTTGGAGAATAAGTTTAGTTAAAAATTGTAGAAAATAATAATTGAATTGAAGGAATGATAATAATTATAGGTCGTTTTATTTGAAAAATATTGAGCCCTGAAAATGTGTTGATTTTGGTATGTTAAATGGCACAAGTGTTGATGAATTATTTGGTTTGTTTGTTTTTTTAGGTGGAGTGTTTTGCAATAGATCAAGCAGAATTAGAAGAAGATAATCATCCGGAGAGTTCAAAGTTTTTACTTGCTCCTGAAGATCCTGAACGATCAGTGGATCCTGAGACACAAGCGCGTTTAGAGGCACTTCTCGAGGCAGCCGGAATTGGAAAATTGTCATCCGGTGATGGAAAGCATTTGGCCGATCACGAGGTATTACGTCGACTGACATCTAGTGTTTCTTGTGCATTAGACGAAGCGGCAGCGGCATTAACTCGTATGAGAAGCGACAACCCCCGCAGTCAAAACGAGAAACGCTCTCTGGTTGAAGCTTGCACTGACGGAGACGTTGGCACTGTTAAAAAGCTCTTGACTGAGGGTCGAAGTGTTCACGAAACAACGGAAGAGGGAGAAAGTTTACTCTCTCTCGCCTGTTCCGCTGGATATTACGAACTTGCACAGGTAAGAAGTCCATCAAGTTTCAATCTATTGAGTTTGTTTGTTTGTTTGTTTCTTTGTTTGCTAAGAGACAGGAAAGAGTGGATAATTTCTTTTGGGTCCACTTTATCAGTATTGTCACTGTCTATTTTATTGTCGTTGCTTGTACTTTGCTCTACTTGAAGTATGAATAAATTGATGGCCTGGACAATAAATGGGCAGGAAGCTTTGTGAAAGTCTTTTTCGAATTGTTTTTCAATTGTTTTTGTTGCAATTTAGGTATTACTAGCAATGAGTGCGAACGTTGAAGATCGTGGCATCAAGGGGGATTGCACCCCTTTGATGGAAGCTGCCAGCGCAGGCCATGCGGATATAGTGAGATTACTTATAGCTCATGGGGCAGATGTCAATGCTCAATCAACATCAGGTACGAATTTTCAATCTTTCAATCTAAAATTATCTCAATATCCTCTTTTCTAGTGTTTGGAAAGTGAAAATTAATCTCAACTTTTTCCTTTTCTTTTATTATCAAGGCAACACACCTCTGATGTACGCTTGCGCTGGCGGCCATGAAGAAGTCGTGAGAGCACTACTTGAGGCAGGTGCGAATGTCGAGGATCATAATGAAAATGGTCATACACCTTTGATGGAAGCGGCCAGTGCGGGTCATGTCCCAGTTGCCAAGATCTTGTTGGAACATGGAGCAGGCATTAATACTCATTCGAATGAATTCAAAGAGTCCGCGTTGACACTGGCTTGTTATAAAGGGCATTTAGACATGGTTCGATTCTTACTTGATGCAGGCGCTGATCAGGTATATTTCCAATTATTTACAATCATTTTCAATTATTTGCAATTATTTTCTCCAAAACTTGCAAAAGAAGTAAGCAATTTTGATTCCTATGCAGGCCTCGGATATTATCATTTTCAGGGTTGCCACAGGTCAGGGAAAGTAAAATTGGTCAGGGAAAAGTCAGGGATTTTTATTAAAGTATGTACTGGAAAACATTCAGGGCTCGGATTGTGCGACTTTTTTCGACTTTTCTAACCCTCCGTCACACACCTAGGGAGGGATTCCCTCTACGGTTTCAGTATTTTTTAAATAACTTTTGTTTTCCTCATTGCAAAATAAAATCAGTTTCTATACCTTTCGACAACTTACTCCTCAACACATTTCTAAAAAAACATTTAGTTAAACATAATTAATATTTAATTACGAAGCTTCAAAGCCAGAAAAAACTCGAAAAAGTCAGGTTATGTTAAATAAAAAAATCAAGTTTTCAAAACATTTTTTGTTCCACTGTTGGTTAATGACAAAATTATATTATAAATATAATTAAAATGAATTGTTTAATGATTTTTTTGCTTATTTAGTTTGTGTTAAAACTAAATTTTTGTTGATTCCTTTGTTTATGTTGTAATGTCGCTTATTTTACAATGTGGTGAGGGATTCCCTCTAAACGTGTGTAAAGTCGTAATTTTTTCTAAGGTGTGTGACGGAGGGCTAAGGAAATGTGACTTTTTCGAGATTTTTTTTAGTAAAATGCGACTAATCGACTTTTTTCAAATTTTTCAATTACTTTTCGACTTAAATTGTAAATGGCAAAAATCTTTTTTTGTAAACAATATTCTTCACAAAATCATTCTTCTCTTTAGGGAAAAAAAACAACATATTATCTCGTTTCTTAATATTTTTGTAGGAAATTCTCAATTTTCATAAGGAAACTTGCATCATTTCTATTTCTTAATTACAATTGCTTTAATAAAATTTAAAGTTTTTTAAAAATTAATGAAAAAAAAAATGTTTATAAATACTATTTGTCAATTAGAAAGTGAAACTTTTAAAATTTTTAGAAAATTGAAGGAAAAAGTATTAGTCAAAAAAATGATCTGTTACATTTATTTACAAATTTCTTTCAAATTTTTCGAAAACATCAATAACTTCTTTTTTTTATTATTTTTCATAGGAAATAAAATTCTTCAAAAGATTCATATTCAAACCTTTTTGAAATTAAACAACTTATAAAAAATTGTTATAAAACATGAAGAAATCGATCACTCCGAGTCTTCGACATTATTTTATATTAGAAGACTTTATAAAAAAAAATTTTAATTATTTTTTATGAAAATAATTGAATTATTGAGAAGAAATTTATAAAACATTAGTAAGTAATTGAATTTTGCAGAATAATTTTGATATTGATAAAGATAATTGAAATTTTGAGGAGAATTTAAAATAATTTTTTGAAAATAATTGAATTTCAGCGAAGAATTTTCGTACTTTTGAAGATAATTGAATTGTGTATTAGAATTTTATCATAACTTTTGAAAATAATTAAATTTCCAGGATAAATTTTATTATTTATGAATGAGATAAATAAAATTTTAAAGAGGAATTTAAAAAAAAATTTGAAAATAATAGAATTTCTAGGATGAATGTTTTTATTTATAAAGATAATTGAAATTTGGACAAGAATTTTATTATTATTTTTACAAATAATTAAATTTTAGAGAAGAATTTTATTATTTATGAAGAGAATTGAAATCTTGAACAGATTTTCTTAAAAATATTTAAAAGTAATTGAATTTTGCGGAAGAATTTTGATATTTATAAAGATAATTGAAATTGTGAGGAGAATTTAAAATAATTTTTTGAAAATAATTGAATTTGAGCGAAGAATTTTCGTACTTTTGAAGATAATTGAATTTTGTATTAGAATTTTATCAGAACTTTTGAAAATAATTAAATTTCCATAATGCATTTTATTATTTATAAAATTTTGACGAGAATTTAAAAAAAAATTTTGAATATAATTGAATTTCTGCGAAGAATTTTATTCCTTATGAAAATAATTGAATTTCAGAGAAGAATTTTATTATTTATAAAGATTATTGAAATTTTGACAAGAATTTTATTAAATTTTTTTTTTAAATAATTGAATTTCGATTATTTAAATTAAAATTTGCATGAAATTAGTCGAAAGAAATCAATTATTTAAAAATTTTTATAAAATTCTTCGCAAGAATTAAATTATTTCAATTATCTTCAAAAAAAAAAGGAAATTAAAATTAAAAAAAAAATTAATTAATTAAAAGTTTTTAAAATTTACTTTCTTAGACTTATTAAAATTTCGGAAAAATCATTTTCATATTTATAATTAAAATTCATTAAAAATTTGTTTTTTTTATATTTTTAAAAGAATTTACTAAATTTGTATTATTTTGAAAAGATTTTATCAAATTTCAATTGTTTGGAAATTTTTCAATAGTATATAATTGAAAAACTATTATCTATAAAAAATTACTGAAAAATATTTTGAAAAAATTAATTTTAAGAGAATTTTTTTGTTATAATTTTTTGAAAATATTCTATTGTAATAATTAGAAAAAACACGGACAGTTGCAATTATAATAAATTGTATTTAAATCATTTAATTCTCGAAGAACTTTAGGAAAATTATTAAAAATAATTGATTTAGAGGTGAAATTTAGTTAAAAATTCAATTCAATTATATTTAATATCTATTATTTTCATAAAAAATTTTAATAAAATTTGTCGCAAGAATTCAATTATTGTCAATAAGTTATAAAATTCTTTAGAAAAATTGAATTATTTTAAATACGATTTGAATAAAATTTCTTGATGGAATGTAATTATTTTTAAATAGTTCAAGAAAATTTTTGATGGAATTTACTTATTTTTAAAAATTATGATAAACTCTTTGAAAAAATTCAATTATTTAAAAAAATTTTTGTTAAAGTTCTTTATAAGAATTAAATTTTAAGAAATTTTCAATTATTTAATAAATTAACTATTTTTGTATTTAAATAATTGAATTCTCGTATAGAATTTTCTAATAAAAATTGATTTAGAATTGAATTTCAGTTAAAATTTTGGATAATTGAATATTAGAAGCGTTATAGTGTGAATTTTTAGAAATAATTAAATTTCAAAAGATTTTTAAAAATTTCAATTGTAAAACTGTAACAATATTTCAATTTTTATTTTGAAATAAAATGATTTAAAGTTTTGAATAATTTTATTTAAAAACTCTAACAAAAAGATGCAATGGAATTTGGGAAGAATTACTGTTGTAATTTTTGGAAATTAAGTTTCCATTGAAATCATTTAAAACATTTTAATTCCTGTGGAGAAATAAATACGTAATTATACGTTTATATAAAAAAATTGTGTCATCAAATTTAATTTTTCGATAGCTACCTTTTTTACTACTTTTTTCAGTCTTAAGTCTGCTTTTTCCACTTTTTAAAAATTAATTATCAAGTACGAAGCCTGTTAATACATAAAAAATTTGTTACTAACAACCTGTGGAAAAATAAATGACAATAAGTGTTTAAATATTTTTATTTAACAAAACTCATTGATGTTTTGAATAATATAATTTTGAAATTTTGAAAAAACTGATGTTTTTTAAAAATTATAATTTAAAGTTATTTTGATGATAGTTTGATATCTCTGTTCAAAAAAGAAATTACTTTCACTTTTTTACTACTTTTTCAGTCTTTAAGCTATTTTTTAAAATTTAATTAACGAGTGCGAGCCGCTATTAATTAAGTGGAATTAAAAAAATGATGTACTATTTTTTCAGGAACACAAAACTGATGAAATGCACACTGCTCTCATGGAAGCTTCGATGGATGGTCACGTAGAAGTAGCACGACTACTGCTGGATTCGGGCGCACAGGTGAACATGCCGACTGACAGCTTCGAATCTCCCCTGACCCTGGCAGCGTGCGGGGGTCACGTGGACCTGGCGATGCTTTTGATTGAAAGAGGAGCGAATATCGAGGAAGTCAATGATGAAGGGTACACGCCTCTGATGGAAGCTGCGCGGGAAGGACATGAAGAAATGGTAGCCTTGCTTCTAAGTCAAGGTAATAGTGCAAGTAAGAGCTATGAATTTTTATACTTTTTACAATTGGAATTGAACAAGTTGAAAGGAATATGTCTACAATCGTATTGTGCCATTAGGATCGCTAATTAACACACAAACGGAAGAGACGCAAGAAACTGCCCTCACGCTGGCTTGTTGCGGTGGATTTCTGGAGGTCGCTGACTTCCTCATAAAAGCTGGCGCCGACATTGAGTTGGGAGCGTCAACGCCGCTAATGGAGGCCGCTCAGGAGGGGCATTTGGATCTAGTTCGTTATTTACTTGAGTCGGGAGCTGATGTTCATGCCCAAACGCAGACTGGTGACACTGCACTTACTTATGCCTGTGAAAATGGTCACACCGATGTAGCTGATCTTCTTCTACAATTTGGCGCAGATATGGTACTTTTTCATATTTCAAATTGGAAAAATCATTTCAATATGAAAACATGCCTTTTCATATTTCATATTTTCAAAAAACGACGAAAAAATTGACTTTTTCGTTTCAATGCACTCTACAGGTCTCAATTTTTAACCAAAATGATTTTTCAATTTTTGTTTTCAATTATGTTCAAAAATTTAAAAAAATTCTCGTCAAAATTCAATTATCTTTCAAAATAATAAAATTCTTCTCTGAATTTCAATTATTTTCAAAAATTTTCCTTAATTCAATGATTTTAAATATCTACGATTATAATAAAATTTTCTAAAAGAATTCAATTATTTAAAAAAAGGTTGATAAAATTACAGGGTTGCCACGCAACCTGAAAACCTGGAAAACTTGTAAATGTCAGGGAATTTTAATTGGAATCCTGGAAAATTATTGATTTCTAAAGTTATTGTGCTTATTCTTGAAATCTAATTTTTCTTTAATTCAATTTTAAAAGAGTTGCCTTTACAATATTTCTTCGCGATAATTCAATTACTTTCATAAATAATCAAAAAATTTGTAGATTTACAATTATTTTCATAAATAATAAAACTCACCGCAAAATTTCAATTATTTTTAATACAATTTTAATGGAATTTCTCGAAAAATGTATAATTATTCTTAAAAATTTTATTCAAATTCATCAAAGAAATTCAATTATTTTCAAAATTAATAAAATTCTTCGCAGAAATTCAATTATGGTCAAAAATTTAAAAAAAATTTATCGTCAAAATTTCAATTATCTTTATAAATATTAAAATTTTTCTCCAAAATTCAAATTTTAGTTAATAATTGAATATTAAAAGCATAGCATGAATTTAGAAATAATTGAATTTTGTAAAGGTTTCAAATTAAAATCTTTGAAAATTTGAATTTTTTATACTTTTAACTAACAATTCTGTAGAATTAATTTTTTTCAAAAAGTTTTATTGAATTTTATAAAATCGAATTGTAAACAAATGAATTTGAAAATTCTCGAAAAACTTTTTCAAAAATCATTAAAAATAGTTGATTTAAAAAAGAATTTTAATAAAATAATTTAACTTAAATATTTGAAAATTAATTGAATTTTAAAATAGTTGCTTTAACAATTTTCATAAATAGATCAACTTCAAAAGGTTGTAATTAAAAATTTTACAAAATTTCAATTTTTAATGAATTTAATTAGAAATTTTAAAGAACTTAGATTTTTGGAAAATTTTAATAATTCAAATTTTTCTGAAATAAAGATAAATTTTTTAATATATATTAAATTAATTATTAAAAATAATGGATTTATAGAAGAATTTTAGTTTAAAAAAAATGAATTTTGAACAAATTACAAATGATTGCAGAAATTATTGTTAATTTATTTTAAAAAATGTTTAAAACCAAAAATGCAGAAATCGGTAGAGAATTTAATGGTGAAGACGTAGAAAAAAAGAAAAGTCGTTTTTGTTAAATTTGGGACTTTTTTAAAATTAATTACTGTGTCCGAAGCTTGCGTTTTGCCACATTTACTATAAAGTGTTTAGAGAGTCTATCACATTTATTTTTTATTATAAGTGAAGACTTATTTTAATTAAAATAATGAAACTTGTTTTAACATAAAAAAGATCGTTAAATAGTTCATTTTAATCGCCACCCAGATTAAAAAATTGATAGTACCTGTTTCAATGTAAATTTGACGTGAAATCTTTCATGACAATCTTAATTGATTGTCATTATATAATTGAATTTTGTTTAACAGGAACATGAATCTGAAGGCGGTAGAACACCGTTAATGAAAGCCTGTCGAGCTGGCCATCTTTGTACCGTACAATTCCTTATATCCAAAAGAGCTGACGTTAATCGTCAAACTACAAACAATGACCACACTCCCCTGTCTTTGGCCTGTGCCGGTGGACATTTAGCAGTTGTGGAATTATTGCTTGCACAATCTGCTGATCCATTCCACAAATTAAAGGACAATTCAACAATGCTGATAGAAGCTGCTAAAGGCGGCCACACAAATGTCGTACAGTTGCTACTGGATTATCCTCACAGCATCATGATGACAACACCTCATTGTAACGCTGGACCAAATATGCTGATGCAGCAGCAGCAACAACAACAACAGCAGCAGCAACAACAGCAACAGCAGCAATTGCAACAGCAACTGCAGAGTGTTTCGCATCAGCAGCAAGTGCCCCTTCAACAGCCACCCTCAACTCAACAGCAACAGCAGCAGCAACAAGCCTCCGAACAAACGCAAACTCAAAATATTCAACCAAAACACAACACGCAAAAGTCTCTATTGAGAAAGAATCGATCTGTCACCATGATGCCGGACATGAGTCTTACATCGGCTGAAGCGCAGCAGGTTCGCACTCAACCCGCAGGCGAGTCCGTTGCGCCCACCAAGGATGATACCAACATTCTAGACAAGGGAAGTGGAGGCTTCGCTGCTCTATGCGAACCCAACATTAGCCTTAGTCCAGCTCCCACTTCAACCATAACACCCACCACTTCTGATTGCCGAAAAACCACCACCTGCACTCGTCAAGAACAAATTCTTCACAAGCAACAAATTGTAGATGAGGAGATGCAGGTATTGCAGGTACGTGTCTATTTTTTTATTCATTTATTTTCTCTCTCATGCCAACGAGAAATTATTTCATTATTTCACTTGTGCTGCTTCAGAGGTTAGAACGAGAACTTCAGAGAAAAGGAGCAAGCCACTTGTTTAATTTAAATAATTCCGGTGCGACTGCAGAATCAATTGCAGGGTCACAACCTATGCAGCAATCTCTTCAACAACAACAGCTGCAGCAGCAGGACAGTGTTGATTCAAAATCATTATTAACCAGCACGCTTAACATTGATTTACCTGCCCAAGCAAATGCTTCTGCTCATGGTATGTATATATTTTCTCTTGAACATTTCCTACATTTCATGCTACTTTTCGCTAAATCAACTTAAACAACAAAAATACATCTTTGAAAAAAACAAATAATTTCAATAATTTTAATTAATCAGTATAAAAACAGGGTTGCCACAAGTCAGGGAATTCAGGGAAAAGTCAGGGATTTTTATTAAAAGTACTGGAAAAAATTTAAGTTTTAGAATTTGTAAGAAAATTCTGAATTTTGGTGTCTTTTTTGTTTGCCTCACGAAAATTGACAAGAATTTTAATACAAAAATTTCAATTTTTTTTGCTTCTGACAATAATTTCTTTTTAAATAACTTAATTCTTCAACAACTATCATAAAATTATTACTTAGAAATTATTTAATAAATAATTTTACTTCAAAATTTTCAAAATTAATTAGATTTCAAAAGAGTTGCGTTTAAAATCTGCATAAATAGATCAACTTCAAAGGCTTCAATATGAAATTTTTTAAAATTTCAATTTTTAATGAATTTAAATAGAAATTTTAAGAACAACTGATTACAGAAATTCAATTATTTTCAAAAATTTAAAAACATTCTCATCAAAATTTCTATTATTTTTATAAATAATACAATTCTTCTCCAAAATTCAATTACTTTCAAAAATTTTCCTCATTTCAATTATTTTTAATATCTACTATTTTAATAAAATTTTCTAAAAAAATTCAATTATTTAAACGAAATTTTAATAAAAATTTCACAGGAATTCAATTATTTTCCAATTTTTTATAAATTTCTTCGCACCAATTCAATTATTTTTTATTTTTTAATGAAGTTTATCGAAAGAATTAAAATATATTCAAATAATAGAAAAAAATTGTTCTGAAAAATTCAATTTAAAAAAATTTTGACAAAATTCTTTACAAGATTTAGTTAATAATATTGCAATTTTAATAAAATTTTCCTATTCAATTCAATTATTTCCAATACAATTCTTCTTAAGAATTCAATTATTTTCACAAATAATACATTTTTTTATGGGAATTCAATTATTTGAAAAAAATTTGAATAAAATTCTTCGTAAGAAATTAATTATTTTCATAAATAATAAAATTTTTCTCGAAAATTCAATTATTTTGAAATATTTTGAGATAAAATGCTTTATAAATTTGAAAAATTATAATAAAATTGACTATAGAATACAATTATTTTCGTAAAATATAACATTCCTTATAGGAATTAAAATTTTACTGTCAAAAATGTTTGTAAAAATCTTGGAAACAATTTAATTATTTTCTTAAAAAATAAAATTCTCCTAAGCAATTCAATTATTTCAGATATTTTAATTAAATTCTTCCCAAGAATTCAAATTTTTTTCAAAAATAAAACTTTTAACAAGAATTCAATTATTTAAAAAAAAATTTAATGAAATTCTTCGTCAGATTTCAATTATTTTCAATTTTTTAATGAAATTTAATTATTTTCAAAATGTTATAAAAAATTCTAAGAAATTCAATTATTTAAAAAATTTGAATAAAATTCTTCACAAAAAATTTATTAATATCATAAATAATAATATTTTTCTCCGGAATTCAATTATTTTCAAAAATAAAATATTCTTTTCTATGTACAATTTTACATAAACTGATAGAAAATTGCATTTATTCTTTAAAATTTTTTTAAAATTCGCCGAATTTTGATGTTTTTTTGTTTGCCTCGTAAACTATGAAATTGACAAGAATTTTAATACAAAACCTTCAATTTTTTCTATTTCTACACTGAGAAAAAAGAGGGCGCGTTACAGCACATTTTCGATTCATGTTGCGCGACTCAACCCTGAATTCTTCTACACACTTTCTGGGGCGTGCAGCACGCCCCAAAGAGCGTGTAATACGCTTCAAATACAGCTCGCCTCGACTCAGGGGTCCGCTGCACGCCCCAGAAAAGTTTCTAGCAGAACACAGGGTTGAGTCGCGCAACATGAATCGAAAATGTGCTGCAACGCGCCCTCTTTTTTCTCAGTGTAACAATAATTTCTTTTTAAATAACTTAATTTTTCAAAAAGTATCATAAAATTATGACTTATAAATTATTTAATGAATAACTTTTACAATTTTCATAAATACTAGATTGATAGAAGAATTTTAATTCAAAATACTAAAAAAAAATTTAATTTTCCAAAAGTTACAAATCATTCCAGAAATTCAAATTATTTTCAAAAATTATAAAAATTCTTCGCAGAATTTCAGATATGTTCAAAAATTTAAAAAAATTCTCGTTTAAAATTTCAATTATCTTTATAAATAATAAAATTCTTCATCGAAATTCAATTATTTTAAAAAATTTTAATTAAATTCTTGTCAAAATTCCACATGAACTCAATTATTCAATATTTAATAAATTTCTTTGAAATAATTCAATTATTTTCATAAGTAATAAAATTTTCACAGGAATTCAATTATTTAAAATTCAAAATTTCATAAAATTTTTCGAAAAATATCAATTATTTAAAAAGATTTTTATAAAATTCGTCGCAAGAATTCAATTATTAAAAATAAAAAATGTCAACTTTTAAAAAAGATTTTTATAAAATTTGTCGAAGAATTGAATTTTTTAAAAAAATTTAACACAATTCTTTGCAAGAATTCAATTATTTTTATAAATAATAAAATTGTTCGCAGAAATTTAATTATGATAAAGAAAAATTCTTGTCAAAATTTCAAGTTTCTATATAAATAATAAAATTCTTTTCCGAAATCCAATTATTTTAGAAAAATTTTAATAACTTTAGAACTAGAAAATAAGAACTAAAATTTTTTAATAAAATTGTTGGGATAATTTTAATTGATTTCATGAATAATAAAACTCATCGCAGGATTTTAATTATTTTTGATACAATAATTTAATCGAATTTCTCGAAAAATGTAATTATTCTTAAAAATGTTATTAAAATTGGTTTTGACAAATTTTAATAAACATTCAATTATTTAATAATTGAATTCTTCTAGAGTTTTCTAATAAAAATTAATTTAAAAATGAATTACCGAATAATCGATTTATTATTTATGAAAATAATTGAATTATTGCAACCAATTTTATTACATTTTTTTTAAATAATTGAATTTTTTTGTGAAATCGTACTGTTTGTAAAAATAATTGAATTCTTGCAAAGGATTTTTGTAAATAATCAACTTTTTTTTGAAAAATTTTATGGTAGTTTAAATTATAATAAAACATGAAGAAGGCGATTGCTCCGAGTCGAAGACTCGGAATAATATTCTTATAAGTTGTTGAATTTCATAAAGGTTTGAATTTGAATGTTTTGAAGAATTTTAATTCCTACAGAAAAACAATAATGATTAAATATATATTAAAAAAAGAAGTTATTGATGTTTTCGAATAATTTTACAATTAAAGAAATTTGTAAATTAATGTAATAGAACATTATTTTGAGTATCTAATAATTTTTAGAGTGAATCAGAATATTCTTTAGGGTCAGAGAAAAAGTGGAAATTTTGTCTGGAAATCAGGGAAAAGTCAGGGAAAAATAAAATTAAATATTCGTGGCAACCCTGTTTTGTTTTGACTGTATATCAGATTCTTTCTTAAGGGTTGAACACGTCAAGTTCGTTGAGGGCTCATTTAAGTTTTAATTACTGATAATAGCGAAGTTTATATCACGTCAGGATTTTGCCTCACGATTTTTTCTCATTTATTCTTTTGAAATGATTTCGCAGGCGTTGCCTTGCGAAAAACGCAAAGCGCCAAAATGTAACCTTAATTTATTTACTGCTTTAATTAATGTCTGAAGTAAAAAATGTGAGTAATGGTTTGAAACACATTTCAGGCGGTGTGCCGGGACTATTCCAAACGCCGGAGAATAATAGACATCTGATTGGTTTCTACGATGGCTACATAAGCGGACTGGAATCGGCAAAGAAGAGACTTATGAAGGAGGGAATGCAAGATGGACAACAGCCATTGTCACTGACATCTTCTCTGGCTGACACTTTTCCTGCGGCAAATAATTTTGCCACTTCGCCTCCCATGTCTCTTGCCAGCGTGCCTGTGAGCGCGACCACCGCTCTAATCACTCCCAGTGCATCGGCAACAACCACTCCAACATCTCCGATCATCTCGAGTCCTCCGGCCGCCGTGACAATCTCCCAGCCCATCACAGCCAGTAGCGACGTCAGTCAGAACACCGCCATTAGCGATCGTCCAAAAGCAAAGCCCGTTTCTAAAAAGGAGGGCAAAAACATTCGAAAAGTTGGCAACACCCTGAGCGCAAAATTGCAGCAGCAACAGGCGACTCTCATGGCTGGCTTGCAACAGCAGTACCAACAGAAACAACGTCAACACACCTATCAAGTTCAGCAGGTTCATCAGCTTCAGCAGCTCAATCAACAACTGCAGTTGCAACTCGATCAAGTACAAGTGAGTATCTTTTCTTTTCAATTTTTCTGTGTCAAAATGTTCTCTTTTAGCTTAAAATTTCATTCTTTCATTCTTATTACAGTTTAATACTTTCCTTTAACAAAAGTTACTTTATTTAATTTTAAAAATGTTATCAACAACAACAACAACAACCCGTTCTTACAATAATAATTGCAACTCATCATTGCACAGAAATTATTATTTATCGAGAGGTGAAATATGAATTGACTAAAGTTCTGAAAGAAGAATCAGGCAAAAATACTTTTTCATATAAAAGAAATTTACTAGATTATTTTCTTTTTCTTAAAATTCACATGGTTTCTAAAATATTTAACATTGTTAATCAATGTTAATTTTCAATATTCTTGAGTTTATTTTAAAGGTAATTTAACATGTAATTAAAATGTCTTATTGTTATTAGGGTGGTAATTTTTTTTCCACAAAACTGTCAATTATTAAAGTTGGCTAAAAAATATAGAATAATTGAAAAATCGAGGGTCCACTGTAATTGACCTGGAAACCTGGAAATGTCAGGGAATTTTATAACCGTATGTTGAAAAAATCTAGAAAAGTAGGAATTTTTATCGAAAACCTAAAAAATTGTTGCTTTTTAAAGTTATTGTGCTTATTCTTGAAATCTAATTATTGAAGGCGAAAAGCTGATAAAATTCTAATACAGAATTTTCAAATTTTTCTATTTCGAACAATAATTTCTTTTTAAATAACTTAATTCTTGAAGAACTATCATAAAATAGTTACTTAGAAATTATTTAATGAATATCATTTAATCATTTAATTATTTAAACAAAATTTTCAAATAAATTTCACAGGAATTCAATTACTTACCAATTTTTTTTATAAATTTCTTCGCAATAAATCCATTATTTTCATACAATTAAATTTTTTATAGGTTTTTAATTATTTTCCTAAATAATAAAATTCTTTATAGGTTTTCAATTATTTTTAATACCATTTTAATGTAATTTCTCGAAAAATGTAATTATTCTTAAAAATTTTATTTAAATTCATCAAAGAAATTCAATTATTTTTAATATCTACTATTTCAATAAAATTTCACAAAAGAATTCAATTATTTAAAAAGAAATATTATTAAAATTCGTTTTAAAGTTTCAATTATCTTTAAAAATTATAAAATTCATCTCCGAAATTCAATTATTTTCAAAAAATTTTTAATAAAATTCTTAGAAAAATTTAATTTATTTTCAAAAATCTTCCTCATTTCAATTATTTTTAATATCTACTATTTTAATAAATTTTTCCAAAACAATTCAATTATTTAAACAAAATTTTAATAAAAGTTTCACAAGAATTCAACTACTTAACAATTTTTTAAAAAAATGTCTTCGCACCAATTCAATTATTTTTATTTTTTTAATAAAGTTTCTCGAAAGAATTCAAATATGTTCAGAGAATTAAAAAAATAGTTCTGAGAAATTTAATTATTTCGAAAAATTTAAATAAAATTCTTTTAAAAATTCTATTATTTAAAAAAATTTTGACCAAATTCTTTACAAGATTTAGTTAATAAAACTGCAATTTTAATAAAATTTTCCTAAAGAATTCAATTATTTTCAATACAATTCTTCTTAAGAATTTAATTATTTTCACAAATAATACACTTTTTATGGGAATTCAATTATTTAAAAGAATTTGAATAAAATTCTTCGCAAGAAATAAATTATTTTCAAAAATTTTAATAAAATTCTTGGCAAAATTTCAATTAATTTCAAGCATTTTACTGAATTCAATGATTTTTAATATCTACGATGATAATAACATTTTCCAAAAAATTCAATTATTTAAAAAAAAGATTGATCAAATTCTACGCACATATTTCATTATTTTCATTAATAATAAAAATTCCACAGGAATTTAATTATTTACAATTTTTTTTTATAAATTTCTTGGCAATAATTTAATTAGTTTCATAAATAATAAAGAAATTTTACACGGATTCCATTATTTTCTTAAATAATAAAACTCATTGGAGAATTTAAATAATTTTTAATACAATTTTAAAAGAATTCCTCTAAAAATGTTATTTTTCTTAAAAATTTTCCAATAAAAATTGATTTAAAGATTAATATTACAGTTCAAATTTTAGATTATGTTAAAAAATTTTTTAAATTCTCTTCAAAATTTGAATTATCTTTATAGATATAATACAATTCTTCTTTGTAATTCAATTATTTTCAACAATTTTAATAATATTCTTGGCAAGATTTCAATTATTTTTAAAAACTTTTCTGAATTCAATGATTTTCAATTTCTATTTGATTAAAATTTTCCAAAAGAATTCAATTATTTAAAGAAAATATTGATAAATTTCTACTGAAACATTGAATTATTCAATAAATTATTTATTTTTGTACCTATTTAAATAATAATAAAAATTGCTTTAAAAATGAATTTTGGTTAAAATTTTAGATAATAATTGAACATTAAAAGTATTAAAGCTTGATTTTATAGAATTAATTGAATTTTGAAAATGTTGTTTCAAATTTTAAACGTTTGAAAATCGGAATTTTCCATATACTTTTAACTATAAATTTCGTAGAATTAATTTTTTTAAAAAAGTTTAATTTAATTTTTTTGAAATTATTTCAAGTTTTTATTTTCTAACATACAATTGAAGAATTTTCGAATAACACAGGCCTGCAAATTTTGGCTTAGTTCTGTTACAGAAAAAGTGGTAGGTGATTCTTATAGCTTTTTGGATTTGAAATTAAATGCCATTTTGAACTTCTTTATACCTACATTATCCTAAATAAAAAAATTTCAAATCTACATAACTTTTTTTTAAAAAATCGTAAAGCAATTTTGAAAAATGGGTCTTAAAGCTTAGATATAGTACTATACGATGAAATTTTGCAAATTAAAAAAAAAATTTTGGTTAACCAAAAAAAAATTCCGAAAAGTGTCCAAAATAGCCATTTTTTGGCTATTTAAGGCAAAAAAAGAAATCCTGACGTGATGGGCCATTTTGGAAATTGGATTCGTATTCTACGTCAAAAAAGCTATAAGAATCACCTACCACTTTTTCTGTAACAGAACTAAGCCAAAATTTGCAGGCCTGTGTAATCGATGAAATTTCGTAAAATTGAATTCTAAACAAATGAATTTGATAATTCTCAACGAACTTTGCCAAAAAGTATTAAAAATAGTTGATTTAGAGAAGAATTTCAGTTAAAAATTCTAGAAAATAATAATTGAATAGAAAATGATGAAAATAATTTTAAAGAAGTTACAGTAACAATTTTCTTCTAATGTAAAATAATGATTTTATCTCGCTCGTTCATCTTCATGTTTTACAATAATATTCTTCTAAGTTACTGAATTTCAAAAAGTTTGAATTTAAAATTTTTGAAAAACTTAATTCCTGTGGAAAAATAATAATTAAATATTTATTTGAAAAATAAGTAATTGATATTTTCGAATAATTTTATAATTAAAGAAATTCGCAAATAAAAGTATTAGAACATTTTTCTGAGTGTCTAATAATTTTTATAGTGAATCAGAATATTCTTTAGGTTCAGGGAAAAAGAAAATTAAATTTTTGTAATTTTTTAAATTTCTTTAACAATTTTTATCATTTATAATTATTAATTGACAATTTTTTAGAATGTTTTTCATTGTTTTACATAAGTAATGGTTTAAAAAAATGTTTCCAAAAGTAAAAATTCCTTAGTTTAGAATAATTTTTGATCACAGGAAATATTAGAAAAAAATTGACATCTGCGACATTGTAAATTTCGATGGATTAAAGTTTAGTGTCGTAGTTTAAAATTAGAAAAAGAGAGTATCGTAATTTGACGTAAATGGAAGGTTAGTATTGTTTGGGAATTAGAAGAGTAATGAGGTAATGAGGAAATGTTGCGTTTTGCATGTGACGAGTATGAAATTTTGTACGCAGGTACAGCAACAGCAACAGCAACAACAACAGCAACAGCAACAACAAAGTGGTGTCGGGGGTGGCAGTGGAGGCGGCATTTTGATGCCAAGTCAGCTGATGGCGCACCTCCACCCCTCGCACACCCACTATCTTCTTGGCCAGGTATATTTCACATTTCAACCCTGTTCCAAGCTACCTCGATAGTTTCCTCCTCAATTAATTCCTCAATTAATTCCGTTTATTTTACATGCGACTTGATTTTTACCGCTTTTTTTCCTTTTTTTCCTTTTTTACCTTTTTTACCTTTTTAATATTCTAACCAGACAATATTTTTAGGGGTTCTTTTTTTAATTCATTATTTAAGCATTCTTATAAGAACAGGGTTGCCACGGGTTTTACAGGGCTTGGATTGTGCGACTTTTTCGACTTTTTTTCGACTTTTTTGTGAAAAAATGCGACTAATCGACTTTTTCGAGATTTTTCAATTACTTTTCGACTCAAATTGTAAATGTCAGAAATCTTTTTTTGTAAACAATATTGTTCACAAAATCATTCTTCTCTTTAGGGAAAAAAAACATAACATATTATCTCGTTTCTTAATATTTTTGTAGGAAATTCTCAATTTTCATAAGGAAACAATTTGCATCATTTCTATTTCTTAATTACAATTGCTTTAATAAAATTTTAAGTTTTTTAAAAATTAATGAAAAAAAAATGTTTATAAATTAGAGATTTAAAAAAATGTAATTTTCAAGATAATTTAAGTATAATATAATTTTATACTATTTCAGTTTTGTGTTTTAAAGATTATTTTAATAAATAATAATTTTTAAATTAACTGAAATTTTTAAGAATTCGATTAACAATTTTTGAAAATAATGGATTTTAAATAATTTTGCTTCAGAAAATAAATAATTTTTATAATTTAGCTCCCCTTAAATTTTTTTATAGGGATCAGGGAAAATGTTAAAATTCTGTCTAAAAATCTAGGAAAAGTTAGGGAAAAACGAAATCAAATTTTTGTGGCAACCCTGAAGAAATTATTTTTCTTTATTTAAAGAGAAGGGGAAATTTTTATTAATAATTTCTTTAAAAAAAAAGTCTTACTATTTTGTTCCATAAGCTAAATTTTGAAAATTGCAATTTGATTTTTCTTGTTAATAAACTAAGGGGAATGTAAACATTAATAATTACAAAGAAAAAGTGTGATAATTTATAATTTATGTAGCTGTAGTTTATGATGATAAAATTTTCATGGAACTGCTAGATTTTTGGAATTTTATTTGTTATTTCCGTTTAATTGAATTTTGTAGCCGTAGGAGAAAATGTTGCTAAACTTGTGGTAGCTTAGAACAGGAAATGTTTTATGATTGAAATATAACTTGATCGCACGACTCCACTGTCTTGCCTACTTCCACCTCTGTTGCTTGTTTGCTCTGTTGATCACTCAAGTTTACCTGCAAAAAGTAGGCTAACATTAGTAACTTGAGAAGCTTCAATCACAATTTATTTTAATTTACATCAATTTTTTCAGTGTCCTTGAAAGAATAAACAAAAGAACCTTAAATTATTAAATCGGGTAAAATTTAATTCTTTCATTATAGCCCTTGATAAACCCTTTGATATTTAAATATGGAGGAACTGCGAACAATTGCAATAAAAATGTTTGAAAAAGTTATATCCTTTTTTGAATTTACGGAATTTTTTGCGACTTTGTAAAAAATATAATTTTATGTATATTTTTAAGATTTCTAAGAAGAACTATTTCATGTGACACAATTTTAGGGGGCGTGGCATGAAATTTGTGGAAATGTTACTTTCTTGTGTATTTTTCAGGCGACCCTAATAACAATGTTTATTTATTTTAATGTTTCACTAATTTTTATGGTTGTTTATTTCATCTAATTTGACACATTTTTTATTTTAGTGTGATTCCAGTAAAAATCATCTAAACCGATTTGTATTACTTTTTAAAAAATTAATATTGCTTTAGGATTTATTTCGAGTACTCTATAATGTTTTACATCACAGGCCTCGGATATTATTACTTTTTCGACTTTTTTCGACTATTTTCCAAAAAAGCAACTTTTTTTCGACTTATTTTTAAAAATTGCGACTTTTTCGACTTTTTTCAAATTTTTCAATTAGTTTTCGACTTAAATTGTAAATGGCAGAAATCTTTTTTTGTAAACAATATTCTTCACAAAATCATTCTTCTCTTTAGGGAAAAAAATATAACATATTATCTCGTTTCTTAATATTTTTGTAGGAAATTCTCAATTTTCATAAGGAAACAATTTGCATCATTTCTATTTCTTAATTACAATTGCTTTAATAAAATTTAAAGTTTTTTAAAAATTAATGAAAAAAAATGTTTATAAATTCTATTTGTCGATTAGAAAGTGAAAGTTTTAAAATTTTTAGAAAATTGAAGGAAAAAGTTTTAGTCAAAAAAATGATCTGTTACATTTATTTACAAATTTCTTTCAAATTTTTCGAAAACATCAATAACTTCTTTTTTAAATAAATATTTAATTATTATTTTTCATAGGAAATAAAATTCTTCAAAAGATTCAAATTCAAACCTTTTTGAAATTAAACAACTTATCAAAAATTGTTATAAAACATGAAGAAATCGATCACTCCGAGTCTTCGACTCGGAGCAATCGATGTCTTCATGTTTTATTACAATTAAAGATGACCGAGTGATAAAATCATTATTTTATATTATAAGACTTTATAAAAAAAAAATTTTTAATTATTTTTTATGAAAATAATTGAATTATTGAGAAGAAATTAAAAAACATTAGTAAGTAATTGAATTTTGCAGAATAATTTTGATATTTACAAAGATAATTGAAATTTTGAGGAGAATTTTAAGAAAATTTCGAAAATAATTGAATTTCTGAGAAGAATTTTCTTACTTTTGAAGATAATTGAATTTTGCAAAGAATTTTATCAGAACTTTTGAAAATAATTAAATTTCTAGGATGAATTTTATTATTTATGAATAAAATAAATAAAATTTTGACGAGGATTTTAAAAGAAAATTTGAAAATAACAGAATCTCTAGGATGAATCTTTTTATTTATAAAGGTAATTGAAATTTTGACAAAAATTTTATTATTATTTTTACAAATAATTAAATTTCAGAGAAGAATTTTATTATTTATAAAAATAATTGAAATTTTGAACAGATTTCTTTAAAAATGTTTAAAAGTAATTGAATTTTGCAGAAGAATTTTGATATTTATAAAGATAATTGAAATTGTGAGGAGAATTTAAAATAATTTTTTGAAAATAATTGAATTTTAGCGAAAAATTTTCGTACTTTTGAAGATAATTGAATTTTGTATTAGAATTTTATCAGAACTTTTGAAAATAATTAAATTTCCATAATGAATTTTATTATTTATAAAATTTTGACAATTTAAATAAAATTTTTAAACATAATTGAATTTCTGCGAAGAATTTTATTACTTATGAAAATAATTGAATTTCAGAGAAGAATTTTATTATTTTTAAAGATAATTGAAATTTTGACAAGAATTTTATTAAATTTTTGTTTAAATAATTGAATTTAGGAGAAGAATTTTATTATTTATAAAAATATTTTACATTTTAAAGAGAATTTTTAAAAAAATGTTAAAAATACCTAATTAAAATTTTGCTTTGAATTTTATTAAATTTTATTCCGGATTGTTTGATATTAAAGTATGTGTTGTCGAGAAATGTGATTTTTTTACAATTTTGACAATTTCGGGTTTCCTTTTTGTCGTTTTTTCTAAAATTCCATGCGACTTTTCTTCGACTTTTTTGCAAATTTTATGCGACTTTTCGTGACTTTTGTTGTGAATTTATGCGACTAAAGCGACTTTTTTTGAGTTTTAAAGTCAATCCGAGCCCTGCTTATTTTCAAAAATTGAAACTTTTTCGACTTTTTTTCCAAATGGAAAAAATGGACAAAAAAAAAAAAAAAAAATGGACATTTTTAGTATAAACTGCAATTTCGATTTTTATCAGTATGAAAAGTATAATAGTCAAATCTTTGAAAAGTTATTTTTGAATAATCTTTTAAATTAAATTTTCAAAAAATACAATGAAAAAGCTTTTGAATAATTGACATTTTGTAAAATTTAATTAAAAATAATTCATTTTTTTTTCAAGTATTTTATTATAAATTTTGAAAATCAACTTTTTAAGAATTTTAATTATTTGCAAAATTTTGAAAATAATTTAATTCTCAACAATTTTAAAGGAAAATCTTCAAGTGTAAATTTAATAAAAATGAAAATTAATGAAAAATAGGTTCTAAGAATAATATTAAAATATTTTTGAAAAAAAAGTAATTCTCAGAATTTTTAAAATTCAATTATTTTCAATATTTTCGATTATATATTTCCGAAAATTCGAATGCATACAAAAAATAATAACTTTTAGAATTATTTTTAACATTTTGGAGAAAATAAGATTTTATCAAATTTTAATTATTTTCAAAGAGTTGACCAAATTTCAATTATTTTTCAAAGATTTTATCAAATTTCAATTATTTTTTAAAAGAATTTACCAAATTTCAATTTTTTGGACATTTTTTTATAGTATATAATTTTATTGTAAAACTATTGTCGTTCAAAAATTATTTAAAAATATTTTCAAAAAATTAATATTAATTTCTTTATTCAAATTTTTGAAAATATTCTACTTTTAATATTTTTAAAAAGAAAAATGGACTGTTTCAATTATTGTAAAAACTTAAATTTTTGTATTTAAATAATTGAATTCTCGAAGAGATTTCAGAAAATTATTAAAAGTTAATATAGATTGATTGAAAGATGAAGTTTAGTTAAAAATTGTAGAAAATAATTGAATTAAATAAACAACTTTTTTTCTCGTTCAAATCAGTCCGAGGCCTGACATCATTAAAAATTTTAATATTCTTTTAAAAATTAAAATGTAAGGTTCATTTGTATAAACTGTTACGATTTTTGTAAAATCTGTTTACTTTTAATTCGAATTTATTCTCTCAAAATCGACATAGTGGGTTATAGGTTATTGTCCGATACTGAGAAAACAATACGAGAGGATATTTAAGAAATTTTTTTATATCAAAAATCTTTTTTCTTATTTCTTAATAAGTTTGATTCTTAAAAAATTAAGTTAATGTCAAATAATCCTACAAAGTTTATTTTATGAAATTTTGAAAAATTAATAATAATAATAATAATTGTGATGCTATCCGAAGAAAGGTATCTAAGAAGCAAAACATGTTAGGTTTGTGAGGTTCATAGTTTATAAAAATGATTCTGTTTTTTAATAAAAGAAAAGAATAAATACTTTTAATTAGGCGTAGATGACGAAATTTATAAAATTTAAATATTTTATTCATGTCTTCTAGTAATAATTTAAATTAATTGTTCAGCATAAAATAATGAAAACCTTTTTTCTTTTACGTAAAATTCATAATGTTTAACTAATGTCCGAAATTAGAAACAATCATAACCTGCAATTTTTTGCTTCTAATGTCCATTTTTTCAGAGCACGTCTCAACTTTTTTCATCAAACTTGAATAGAAATTGATTCGTGTGCATGTTATATTTTCCAGAATTTGCCGAAATTTTGGATTGTTTTTTGTATTTATTAAACAATTAGAGTAGATCTAAGAATTGTTCCTGTGATTGAACAAATAAGAATACAATAAATGTGCAATGATGATAGATATATTATGGTAATTAGGTAACAATAAAGGCCTTTGTTAATTTTAATTTCTGTAGGCGAGGAAAATGAAAATAATGAATTTAGAAGGGTGAAGTAAATTTATAATTTGCATTATTCACTACAGCAACCACCGCAAGAGAATCTTGGAGAACACATGGACTCGGAAATTGCGAGACTGCATAGAGATGGATCGTGTCCATTTTTTTCTGCTCCGAAAACGCAAAAATCCCTTGGTGTCGAGGATGGTATTTTCAAATTGGATGATGGTACACAGATTCCTATTGAGGATGCCGTCGATATCATAAGATCGATTAGCTTGGATGAAGCGTCAAATGGTACATTTTTTATTATAATTATTATTCTTTTACATGGTATTAATGATTTCATTTCGACCTAAACTTCAAGTTTCAAAAAATTTGTCTCATTTCAATTATTTTTAATATCTACTATTTTAATAAAATTTTCCAAAAAAATTCAATTATTTAATAAAAATTCCACAGAAATTCAATTACTTACCAATTTTTTGTAAATTTCTTCGCACCAATTCAATTATTTTTAATTTTTTAATAAAGTTTCTCGAAAGAATTCAAATATATTCAGAGAATTAAAAAAATAGTTCTAAGAAATTTAATTATTTCGAAAAATTTAAATAAAATTCTTTTAAAAATTTTATTATTCAAATAAATTTTGACAAAATTCTTTACAAGATTTAGTTAATAAAATTTTCCTATACAATTCTTCTTAAGAATTTAATTATTCAAAGAAAAAGTTGATAAAATTTTACACAAACATTTAATTATTTTCATAAATAAATAATAATAAAAATTTCACAGGAATTCTATTATTTACAAATTTTTAATAAATTTCTTAGCAATAATTCAATTATTTTCCTAAATAATCAAATCCTTTACAGAGATTCAATTATTTTCATAAATAATAAAACTCATCGTACAATTTCAATTATTTTTAATACAATTTTAATGGAATTTTCGAAGGATGTAATTATTCTTAAAAATTTTATTAAAATTCATCAAAGAAATTCAATTATTTTAAAAAACCTTTGAATAATTTATTTATTACACTGTAAGTATTATTGTCAACAGATTTTTAATTAAATTTCTTGAAAGAATTAAATTATTTTCATAAATTTTAAGGGTCAAACCATTTTATTTCGCCTAATGTATTTTTGACCTTCATAAAAAATTTCAATACTTCGGGAAAATATTCTTACATGTTTTGGGATTACGAAATGCACAATGATTTGTAAAAAAATAATTTCATTTCATATAAAAAAAGATATTATAAATTGAGAGTACATGAAAAAAGGTTACATTGACAGGCATTACAAAATATTTAAAAAAGGAGTAATCTCTTTAAGAAATATAAAAAAAGCGATTGCTATTTATTTTTAAAGACTTAATTTGTGATTTGAACTTGATAAAAGTATCAAATGATTTATAATAAACTGTAAAATATGTTATTTAAGTTTCTGTATGAAATGTCAAAAATCGATCATATTTAACAATTTTTTTTGACAAAGTAATTTAATTTTCGTAAATCAGAATTATTTAAATAATAAGTATTTTAAATACACTTTATTATTATTTAAATACTTTTTTGATTATCAACTGAGAAATATAAAAAAATTTACCTTAAAAATGAACCATTCTTCATTTTATCGGGATTTTGAATGTTTGTAACTTCGTTGGAGAAAACCCGATTTATGCCAAATTTTTGGAGCATGTTGATTGAAACAATATCTTCCTGCTACTAAAATTTCGCGATGGGTTTTGCACAAGTTTTCAAAAAAAATTGATTAAAAAAAAGTGTTTATTTTGAAGGTTAATGACAAGTATTATAGCTGACTTGAAGTTGGTTTGCTACTTGCAATAAAAGTCAAATTCAAAATAAAACGATTTTTTTAAAGTCAGTTTAAAACAAACCAACTTCAAGTCAGCTATAATACTTGTCATTAACCTTCAAAATAAATACTTTTTTTAAATCAATTTTTTTTGAAAACTTGTGCAAAACCCATCGCGAAATTTTAGTAGCAGGAAGATATTGTTTCAATCAACATGCTCCAAAAATTTGGCATAAATCGGGTTTTCTCCAACGAAGTTACAAACATTCAAAATCCCGATAAAATGAAGTATGGTTCATTTTTAAGGTAAATTTTTTTATATTTCTCAGTTGATAATCAAAAAAGTATTTAAATAATAATAAAGTGTATTTAAAATACTTATTATTTAAATAATTCTGATTTACGAAAATTAAATTACTTTGTCAAAAAAAATTATTAAATATGATCGATTTTTGACATTTCATACAGAAACTTAAATAACATATTTTACAGTTTATTATAAATTATTTGATACTTTTATCAAGTTTAAATCACAAATTAAGTCTTTAAAAATAAATAGCAATCGCTTTTTTTATATTTCTTAAAGAGATTACTCCTTTTTTAAATATTTTGTAATGCCTGTCAATGTAACCTTTTTTCATGTACTCTCAATTTATAATATCTTTTTTTATATGAAATGAAATTATTTTTTACAAATCATTGTGCATTTCGCAATCCCAAAACATGTAAGAATATTTTCCCGAAGTATTGAAATTTTTTATGAAGGTCAAAAATACATTAGGCGAAATAAAATGGTTTGACCCTTAATGAAATTCTTTTTAACAATTTAATTTTTTTTCAAAATAATTTTAATAGAATTATTCCTAGAAACGTAAGTAATTTCAATAATAATTTATCAAAATTCAATTATTTTCAATATCTACCATGTCAATAAAATTTCACAAAAGAATTCAATTATTTAAAAAGAAATTTTAATAAAATTCGTCACAAGAAGACAATTATTTTCAAAAGTAATAAAATTCTTCGCAGAAATTCAATTATTTTCAAGAATTTAAAAAAATTCTCGTCAAAATTTCAATTATCTTTAGAAATAATTAAATTCTTCGAAATTCAATTATTTTCAAAAATTTTAATAAAATTCTTGTCAAAATTGCAATTATTTTTTAAAACTTTTCTCAATTCAATCAAATTTTTTAGATATTTAATTATTTTTAATACAATTTTAATCTAATTTCTCGAAAAATGAAATTATTCTTAAAAATTTTATTGAAATTCGTCAAAAGAATTGAATTATTTAAAAATTTGTTGATAAAATTCTTTATGAGAATTCAATGTAAAGAAACATTCAATTATTCAATATGTTATTAATTTTTGTATTTAAATAATTGAATTCTCGATGAATTTTCTAATAAAAATTGATTTAAAAATGAATTTCAGTTAAAATTTTAGATGATATTTAAATATTGAACTCTCTAAATTTAAATTAGTAAAAATATTTTCTGATTTTAATTAGTGACTGATTTTTTACTTTTGAATTAGCATATTTTACTAATAAATAGTGGTTTCTACTATTTAATAGTAAAATTTACTAATTAAAAAGCAAAAAGTCAGTCACTAACTCCAATTAGTAAACATTTTTACTAATTCAAATTTAGAGAGAAAATATTATAGCGTGAATTTTTTGTAATAATTGAATTTTGAAAAGGTTTCAAACTAAAATGTTTGAATTATTTTATATTTTTAACTGAAAATTGTATAGATTTAATTTTTTTGAAAAAGTTTAATTGAATTGTTTTTATTTTCTAAAATATATTTGATTGAAGAATTTTCGAATAATCGATGAAATTTCGTAAAATTGAAGTGTAAACAAAAAGATTTGAAAATTTTCAAAGAAACCTGGAAAAATGAGGGATTTTTCCTGATTTTTGAAATGTGAATTATTTTTCTTTTATTGAAATTAATGGGAAATTTGTTCCAAGCAGCAGCAGCAGCAGTGGCAGGAGCGGACGACCCGTCGAAGCTTGACATGAAGAAGTTGGAAATTTCGGGAAAGAGTCAACAACAACTCGGGCAGGTTGTGTCGCAATCCAACAACCTTCACCCCTCTCGTGATTATTTCACAGCTCCAGTACCGTCAGTACCTTCCGTACCAACCGTTCCATCGGCGAGTATGCCGCTTTCGTCCCTGCAAGTGACAACGGCAGGAGTCCAGATACAAGCCGACGTGTCCACGGGGTTGCAGATCACACCCACGCAGCCCATCCCTAGAAGCGTGATCAGTGCCTTCGAGGCCGGTCTCAATTTAGGAATGCAGACGTGCATCAGCGAGGAGAACTTCCAGTCCTCATTGCTCTTGCAATCTCAGCTGAGTAAGTCATTTCAAAATATCAATTTTGAAACACAAAACCTGCAAATGTCTCTAAAAAGTTCAGGATACAAATTTTTCTTGTCTATTTTTAACACAAGTAAACTTTCCAAGCGCTAAAATAAAAAAAAAAAATGTGGGGAAACAATTTCACAGGAATTCAATTAAAATTTTTTTTTTAAATTTCTTCGCAATAATTCAATTATGTTTATAAAAATAAAAGTCGTCAGAGAGTTTCAATTTTTTTTAAATACAATTTTAATCGAATTCCTCGAAAAATGTATAACATAATTCTTAAAATCAGGGTTGCCACACAACCTGGAAACCTGGAAAACCTGGAAATGTCAGGGAATTTTGATCGAAATCCTGGAAAATTGTTATTTTCTAAAGTTTATTCTTGAAATCTAATCTTACATAAATATTTCAAAATTAATTCAATTTTAAAAAAAGTTGCGTTTACAATTTACAGATATAAGTACAGATGAATTTCAAAAGATTTTAATTTGAAATTTTGTAAAATTTCAATTTTCAATGAATTTAATTAGAAATCGTCTTAAAGATCGTCGATTTTTGAGAAATTTTAATTATTCCAATTCTTCTAAAATTAGTTAAATTTTTTAATATATATTTTTAATTGATTATTAAAAGTAATGGATTTATAGAAGAATTTTAATTAAAAACACTAAAAGAAAGTGAATTTTGAAGCAATTACAAATGATTGCAGAATTTCAATTATTTTCAAAAGTAGTCAAATTCTTCTCAGAAATTCAATTATTTCCAAAAATATTAATAAAATTCATGGCAAAATTTCAATTAGGGTAAGTGTGTCAATTGTGGCGGGTGCTCCAATTATGGCGACTTTGTAAAAAATAGAATTATTTACTATTTTAGAATAATATAGTTATTTGAAAATGATAGAAAAAGTTATTTTCGACCTTACTCGATATAATTGTACGAAAAAAAAACACATTTGAACTATTATTGGTTTAATTATTTAAGTACAAAAATTGTGCCCCGCCATAATTGGCACATTTTCATTGAATGTGCGTGCTCCAGTTATGGCGCGCAACACAACCTCTAAATACACGTTATTTTCCCCGCCGTAATTGGCGCGCCGAAATTGACTCAACCGCGCCATAATTGACGTTTCTAATCCTAATTCTTATTGCTTTAATTTTGTTTAAATAATTAATTTTTATAAAGTTTTTATAAAAGTTTTATTATCTATATGACACGGGCTTTTAGTTTAATAAGCCATAAATTTACTTCTTTCATTATAATTTTTGAATTTTCTATTTCAAAGACGGCTAAACCAGAACCGCGCCATAATTGGCACACTTACCCTATTTTCAAAAACTTTTATCAATTCAATGATTCTTAATAAATCTACTACTTTAATAAAACTTTCCAAAAGAATTTAATTATTTAGAAAATATTTAATAAAATTTTTCGTTAACATTTCATTATTTTCATAAATAATAAAACTCATCGCAGACTTTTAATTATTTTTAATAAAATTTTAATGGAATTCCTCGAAAAATGAAATTATTCTTAAAAATTTTATTAAAAATCCTCAAAGAAATTCAATTACTTTAAAAACTTTTGCTGCAATTTATTTATTAGAATTTAAGTATTATTTTCTATAAAGTTTTAATTAAATTTATTCAAAAAATTAAATTATTTTCAAAAGTTTTAATGAAATTCTTTGTAATATGTAATTCAATTTTTTTTTCAAAATAATTTTAATAAAATTCTTTGTTGAAATTTTAATAATTTCAAAAATTGGTCAAAATTAAATTATTTTCAATGTCTACTATTTCAATAAAGTTTCATAAAAGAATTCAATTCTTTAAAAAGACATTTTAATAAAATTCGTCTCAAGAATTTAATTATTTTCAAAAATTAATATTATTCTTCGCAGAAATTTAATTGTGTTTAATAATTTACAAAAATTCTCGTCAAAATTTCAATAATCTTTATAAATTTTTCTCCAAAATTTAATTATTTTCTAAAATTTTAATAAAATTCTTGGCAAAATTTCAATTATTTTTAAAAACTCTTAAAAAATTCTTTGGGGAAATTAAATTATTTTTAATTAAAATTTTAATCAAATTTCCGAAAAATGAACTTATTCTTAAAATTTTTATTAAAATTTGTCAAGAGAATTCAATTATTTAAAAATTTGTTTATAAAATTCTTTATGAAAATTCAATTTCAAGAAACATTCAATTATTTAATAAAATATTTATTTTCGTATTTAAATAATTGAATTCTCGTGAATTTTTCTAGTAAATATTGATTTAAAAATGAATTTCAGTTGAAATTTTAGATTATTATTGAATGTTGAAAGCAATATAGCGTAAATTTTTAGAAATAATTGAATTTTGAAAAAGTTTCAAATTAAAATCTTGGAAAATTTGAACTTTTCATACTTTTAACTAACAATTCTGTAGAATTAATTTTTTTAAAAAAGTTTAATTGAAGTTTTTTTTGAAATTATTGGAAGTTTTTGTTTTCTAATATACAATTGAAGAATTTCCGAATAATCGAAATTACGTAAAAATTAATATTGAAAATAATTGAATATTTATACGAAGAATTTTATCAATTTTGAAAATAATTGAATTCTTGCGAAGAATTTTGTGAATTTTAAAAATAATTGAATTGTTTCGAAGAATGTTATTCAAATTTTTGAGAATAATTGAATTCCTGCGAATAATTTTCTTATCTATAAAAATAATTAAATTCTTGACAAGATTTTTAAGGAAATTTAGTATTAATATTTCTCAAAAAGTTTAATGCAATTTTTTTTTAATTATTTGAAGTTTTTAATTTCTAATTTTTTTCATTGAAGAATGTCACAATAATCGAATAATTTGAGGTAAAATTGAATTGTAAACAAATGGATTTAAAAATTTCCAAAGAAGAACTTTTTCAAAAATTATTAAAAAAATTGAGTTCAAGAAGAATTTTAGTTAAAAATTCTAGAAATGAAGAATTGAATTGAAATGAAAATAATTTTGAAGAAATTACAGTAACAATATTTTTATAATATAAAATAATGATAGTATCAAGTTTTAATGAATATAAAACATGAAGAAAGCGATTACTTCGATCGATATTTTCATGTTTTATAATAAATATTCTTATATGTTATTAAATTTAAGATTTTTGAAAATCTTAATTTCTGTAAAAAAATAATAATGATTAAAAATTCATTTAAAAACGAAGTTATTAATGTTTTCGAGTAATTTTACAATTAAAGAAATTCGCAAATAAATGTTATAGAACAGGAAAAAAGTCGTTTTGTCTGGAAATCAGGAAGTTTGGTAAAATTAAAATTTGGTAAAATATAAATGTAGTTTTAAAAACTTGGAAAAATTCCGTTTTAACCTGGAAAAGTCAGGAAATTTGAAATGAGGAAAAGCGTGGTAACCCTGTTAAAAATTTTATTGAAATTCATCAAAAGAATTGAATTATTTAAAAATTTGTTGATAAAATTCTTTATAAGAATTAAATTTTAAGAAACATTCAAGAATTTAATAAATTATTTATTTTTGCATTTAAATAATTGAATTCTCGTAGAATTTTCTAATAAAAATTGATTTAAAAATGAATTTTGGATAATAATTGAATAGTAAAAGTATTAAAGTGTCAACCCTGCTGAATTTTAACTGAAGAACTGAACAATTTGACGCATTTGCCACATTGGCGATCTTGTGAATTGCAGCATTTCCAGCGCAAGCATTGCCTGCAGTTTCTGGAACAACTGCCATTGTCGACAGTTCACCACAGGTTGGCAATAATGCCGTTCAATCAACAGCCTGCAACATCAATCAGGTTCAAGTGTCAACGCAAACTCAAACGCCATCTTCGTCCGCAACTTCCACTGCAGTTGGGCCCGACAGGAAACAAGTTTACACAGCTCCCGCTGCCAATAAGGGGAAGAAGGGTCGATATCCACTTATCTCTCAACAGCAAAACGCTGCCACTTCTCAGCAACAGTCCGCTAATTTCCCCGTTCAAACCTTCCAATTGGATCCAACAGCTGGTTAGTTGACAACAAATGTTTTACTCACTTTAATATCCCAACCGTGGACTTTTTCAATTGAAAAGATTGTTTCAAAGTTTTCAGGGCTCGAACTAGGTCCGTAAGGTCAGAAATTTTATTGAGAAAAGACGAAAAGTTGGTAAATTCTACTATATAATTTGGAGAATTTTAGGGAAATTACAAATGATTGCAGAAATTCAACTATTTTCAAAAGTAATAACATTTTTCGGAGAAATTCAATTATGTTCAAGAATTTAAAAAAATTCTCGTCAAAATTTCAATTATCCTTAGAAATAATTACATTCTTCGAAATTTAATTATTTTCAAAAATTTTAATAAAATTTTTGGCAAAATTTTAATTAATTTCAAAAATTTCCCTTAATTCAATGATTTTTAATACCTACCAGGGTTGCCACGCAACCTGGAAAACCTGAAAAAGTAAGGGAATTTAAATAATAAAACTCATCGCAAAATTTCAATTATTTTTAATACAATTTTAATGGAATTTCTCGAAAAATGTATAATAATAATAAAATTTTTTTCAGAAATTCAATTATTTTCAAAAATAATAAAATTCTTTGCAGAAATTCAATAATTTTAACAAAATTTCCCCCAAAAATTTAATTATCTTTATAAAAAAAACAAATTCTTCGTAGAAATTCAATTATTTTCGGAAATAATAAATTTCTTGTCTGAAATTTAATTATTTTCGAAAACTTTAAACAAATTATTAACGAAAATGAAATTATTTTTGCAAAAATAAAATTCATCGCAGAAGTTGAATTCTTTGGAGAAATTCAATTATTTTTAAAAATTTTAACAAAATTTTTATTAAGAATTCACTAATCATTTATAAAAAACAAATTTCTTCCCATAAATTCAATTTTTTTTAATAAATACTAAAATTCATGTCAGAAATTCAATTATTTTCATAAATAATAAAACTCATTGCAGAATTTCAATTACTTTTAATACAATAATTGTAATGAAATTCCTCGAAAAATGTAATTGTTCTTAAAATTTTTATTAAAATTCGCCAGAGGAATTCAATTATTTAAAAATTTATTGATAAAATTCTTTATGAAAATTCAATTATAAGAAACATGCAATTATTTAATAAATTGTTTTTTTGTATTTAAATAATTGAAATCTCCTTGAATTTTCTAATAAAAATTGATTTAAAAATGGATTTTAGTTAAAACTTTAGATAATAAGAATTAAAATCTTTGAAAATCGGAACTTTTCACATTTCTAACTAACATTTGTAAGCAAATGAATTTGAAAATTCTCAAAGAACTTTTTGAAAAATTATTAAAATAATGCATTTATTGAAGAATTTTAGTTAAAAACTCAAAAACAAAAATTTAATTTCAGAAAAGTTACAAATTATTGTAGAAGTTCAATTATTTTTAAGAGTAATAATATTCTTTGCAGAAATTTAATTCTGTTTTTGTTTAAATAATTGAATTTAGGAGAAGAATTTTATTATTTATAAAAATATTTTACATTTTAAAGAGAATTTTTAAAAAAATGTTAAAAATACCTAATTCGAATTTTGCTTTGAATTTTATTAAATTTTATTCCGGATTGTTTGATATTAAAGTATGTGTTGTCGAGAAATGTGATTTTTTTACAATTTTGAGAATTTCTTGTTTCCTTTTTGTCGTTTTTTCTAAAATTCCATGCGACTTTTTTTCGATTTTTTTTGCAAATTTTATGCGACTTTTCGTGACTCGTTGTGAATTTATGCGACTAAAGCGATTTTTTTTGAGTTTTAAAGTCGATCCGAGCCCTGGTTTTATAGTTATGAAAAATGTAATTTATAGTTTGAAGTAAAATGTTCTCTTATTTCGCTCTGGACTGGTTATATTTTTGTCATTGGTCCGTAAATGGTCCGCATTTTGAAATACTTTGACTGGTTCGAGCCATGCGTTTTAAAAAGTTGCATTTGTTTTACTAGTTTTACTGTTTACTCGTTGACGTTTTAACTAACATTTGAACAATTAATATTAGTTGCTGGACAATATACTACTGGTGTTCCAACTGTTGGAGGCTACACAGCGAATCAAGTACCACCAGCGCCATTTTCCTGCATGGACGTGGATTCTGAAACGGACAGTAATCACGACACTGCTCTGACTTTGGCTTGTGCCGGTGGACACGAAGATCTCGTTGAACTGTTGTTAAGTCGAGGAGCTGATATCGGTAATGAAATATTCACATTATTTGTCTTTCTCTTGTAATTTTCTTATTTTCTAATTTTCTTGTTTTTCCATTACAGAGCATCGCGACAAGAAAGGGTTTACACCATTGATATTAGCAGCAACCGCCGGTCATCAAAAGGTTGTCGAGATTCTCCTGAATCACGGGGCGGAAATTGAAGCCCAGTCCGAACGAACAAAAGACACGCCATTGTCGCTTGCCTGCAGTGGAGGCAGATACGAAGTAGTCGAACTCTTGCTGAATCGCGCTGCCAATAAGGAGCACCGCAACGTTTCCGACTACACTCCACTTAGTCTCGCGGCGTCCGGTGGCTATGTTAATATCATCAAACTACTTCTCAGTCACGGCGCCGAGATCAACTCCCGAACAGGCTCAAAACTGGGCATTTCTCCACTCATGCTCGCCGCTATGAATGGCCATACAGGTTCTTCATTTTTCCTTTTTGTTTCCTTTCTTTTTATTTTCAGAACAGATTGTCACTCTTGCTTTTGGTACTTTCTTTTTACAGCTGCTGTTAAATTGCTTCTTGACATGGGAAGTGATATCAATGCTCAAATTGAAACCAACAGAAACACGGCATTGACTCTTGCCTGCTTTCAAGGAAGACACGAAGTTGTCAGTCTTTTACTCGATCGCAAGGCAAACGTCGAGCACCGAGCTAAGGTGCGCATTATGGCCATTGGAATATTCAAACACTTTCAGGGTGTTTACTAACCGCGAAATCCGCAATTTTTTCACCAAATTAAAAAAAGTTTTCTTATTTTAATTTCTTTTTAAAAAATCGCTCATTGTTCTCTAAATTTGAATTAGTTAAAAATAATTAATTTGATAGTAAAAAATCAGTCACTGATTCAAATATAGTATGTAAATAAATTTTTAAAAAATTATCGAATTAATAGAAATCTTGTGAAATTCAACTGAAAATAATTAAATTTGTTAAAGAATTTCATTAAAAACTTTTTAACAAATCGAATTTTCAAAGTATTTTAATTTAATAATTGATAAATAATTAAATTTTATAAAGAGCAACATTCATATTCATGTTTCTTAATTAAAATTTTCATTAGTTAATTAAAAAAAAGATACACACTTAAAGTTTTGTAATAAAATTAAATTTTTTTAAAGTTTTTTTTGAAACTTCTGAAAAATAAGATTTTTGAAATTTTTCATTTCTATTGTTTCAAGATAATTGAATTTTTATAGGCAAATAATTGAAAATTTTTGAAATAATTGAAATTTCTTTACATTATTCTATTAAAAATAATTAAATTCTTTTAAAGAATTTTATTTAAATTTTTCGAAAATGATCAGGAGAAAATAGTCACCGTAATTGAAATTTTATTTTTTAAAATTGCTTCACAATATATTCAATTATTTCCATAAATAGTAAAACTCATTGCAGAATTTCAATTATCTGGGTTGCCACAAGTCAGGGAATTCAGGGAAAAGTCAGAAACTCAATTATTTTCAAAAGTAATAAAATTCTTCGCAAAAATTCAATTATGTTCAAAAATTAAAAAAAATTCTCGTCAAAATTCAATTATCTTTAAAAATAATAAAATTCTTCTTCAAATTTCAATTATTTTCAAAAATTTTAACAAAAATTCTTTGCAAAATTTCAATTATTTTCAAAAAATTTTTCTCAATTCAATGATTTTCAATATCTACAGTTTTAATAAAAATTTTTCAAAAGAATTTAATAATTTCCAAAAAAAATTTTTGATAAAATTCTAAGCAAACTTTGCAATAATTCAATTATTTTCATAAATAATAAAAATTTTTTACAAAAATTCAATTACTTTCATGAATAATAAAATTCATCATAGAATTTCAATTATTTTTAATACAATTTTAATTGAATTCCTCGAAAAATTTAATTATTCTTGAAAATTTTATTAAAATTTCTCGAAAAAATTCAAATTTGTTGATAAAATTTTTTATGATAATTTAGTTTCGAGAAACATTCATTTATTCAATAAATTATTTATTTAATTTAAATAATTGAATTGTCGTAGAATTTTCCAATAAAAATTTATTTAAAAACGAATATTAGTTAAAATTTTAGATAATAATTGAATATTAAAAGCATTATAGCATGAATTTTTAAAAATACATCATTGAATTCTTTCGAAGAATTTTAACAAAATTTTTGAAAATAGTGACATTTTTCGAAGAATTTACATAAAATTGTATTAAAAATAATTGAAATCTTGTGAAGAATTTTATTAATTTCTGAAAATAATTGAATTCTTGCAATGAATTTTTTCAAATTTTTTTTTAAATAGGTAATTGAAATAATGTAAAGAATCTTATTATTTATGATAATAATTGAATTCGTGCATCGAATTTTATTACATTTTTTTAAATAATTGAATTCTTTTGAGAACTTTTATTAAAAAAGTAGATTGTGAAAATATTTGAATTTCAACGAAGAATTTAATTATATTCGTAAAATGTAATTAAATTCTTACAAAAAAATTAAGAGAATAATTCCATTTTTCTAGGAATTTACTTTAAATTGTATTTTAAATAATTGAATTCATGTGAAAAATTTTATTGCTTGTAAAAATAATTGAATTTATGCAAGGAATTTTATTACATTTTATTTAAATAATTATATTCTTTTGAAAACTTGTATTAAAAATGTAAATTTTGAAAATTTTTGAATTTCAGCGAAGAATTTCATTATTTGTAAAATGTACCTAATTTAATTCTTGCAAAAAATTTTTGAAGATAATTTTATTTTTCGAGATATTTATTTAGAATTGTATTAAAAATAATTGAAACCATGTGAAGAATTTTATTATTTATGAAATTATTTATGAAAATAGTATTATTATTCCCAAAGAATTGAAAAAATTCTTTGTTTAATTCAATTATTTTCCAAATTTCTAATTAAAATTATTAAAAAAACATTATTTTCAAAAAATTTAAAGAAACTCGTCAAAAGAATTTAATTATTCATAAAAACTGTAATAAAAATTTTGGAAGCCATTTGTAGATTTATTTATGTTCGAAATGAAATAACTTTAAATTTGATGAGAAAAAAAACCGGAAATAATGAGGACAAAGCCGAAAATAGTAGACACCCTACGCTTTCTTTCTTTCTTCTGTCTTGGAAAACTGTATTTGATTGATTTAATTTCAGACTGGATTAACTCCCCTGATGGAAGCTGCGAGCGGTGGTTATGTCGAAGTGGGCAGAGTTTTGCTGAATAAAGGAGCCGATGTGAATGCCACACCTGTTCCTTCTTCACGCGACACTGCTTTGACAATAGCCGCTGACAAGGGCCACTGTCGATTCGTCGAATTACTCTTATCTAAGTGAGCACTGCTTTCCTTCAATTATTTCATTAAACTGCAAAGTTCATTATCTTGAGAGAAATTACCTGTCTTATTTATTTGATGATAATTGAATGTATTTACTTGATAACAGGGGCACTCAAGTCGAGGTGAAGAATAAGAAAGGAAACAGTCCTTTGTGGCTCGCTGCGAATGGTGGACATCTCAATGTAGTGGACTTACTTTATCATGCTGGCGCAGACATTGATTCACAAGATAATCGAAAGGTAAACATAAAGCAATAATTTTGTTAGTTTGTTACATTTAAAACGTCAAATTTACACCAAATTATTAGTATATGGGTATATCTCTGGATCCTTATTTATTAAATAGATAAATATTTATTTCAATTTGAAGTGGCGATTTTTTACAATGTCTACTTGTCCCTAGCCATACTATCGGATGGTTTAAACGACAATACTTTGTAATGAATCGAAATTACTAATTCTAAGACTCAACTTTTTAAAGTTAATTAAACAGTCAACACTTTTCCCTACGAAAATTAATATTGTGCAGGCTTCGCACTCATCTACTATACTAAAACCTACTATTTACTACTTTTTTTACGTTATTTGGATTCTTTTTTAGATCTCAGCCACTAAAAGTTACTATTTATATTGTTTTAGAATTTACACTTCTTTAAATTCGCTAATACTAGAAATCAAAAAACTATTCTGAAAAAAATTACAATCAAATTCTTTAAAAGGATTCGATTATTTTCAAAAAATATTCGAAATTCAATTATTTTCAATATCTAGTAGGTATTTTCATAAAATTTCGCAAAAGAATTCTCAATTACTAAAAAAATGGATAAAATTCAATTATTTTCATAAATAATCAAATCTCCACGTGAATTCAACTAATTTAGAATAGCATTTTCAAACAAAATTTCGAAAAAATCAATTACTTAACAAAATCTTTATACAATTCTTCACAATAAATCAATTACTTTTACTAATAATAACATTTTCCATGGAAATTCATATTTTTTTTTTAAATTTTGATAAAATTCTAAGCAAGAATTCAATCGAAGAATTTTTCATCGAAGAATTTCAATTATTTTTAATACTATTTTTAATTAATTAATCGAAAAATTCAATTTTTTTCACAAATAAAGTTTTCCACAAGAAAACAATTATTTGAAATAAAATTTTTATAATATTTATTGTATTTCGAAAAAGTTAATTATTTAAAACAATGTTTATAAAATTCTTATGAAGAATTCAATTATTTTCAAAAATAACAAAATTTTTCACAGAAATTCAATTATTTACAAACCTTTCTTAAATTTCTTCACCATTATTCAATTATTTTCATAAATAATAATACTCATCACAGAATTTCAATTATTTTTAATACAATTTTAATGGAATTCCTTGACAGGGTTGCCACAGGTCAGGGAAGTCAGGGAATTCAGAGAAAAGTCAGGGAAAGTAAAATTGGTCCGGGAAGTCAGGGAAAAGTCAGGGATTTTTACTAAAAGTGCTGGAAAAAATTAAATTTTTAAAATTCATGAGAAAACTGAATTTTTATGTTTTTTTTGTTTACCTCGTAAACTATGAAGTTACCTCGAATTTTAATACAAATCCTTCAATGTTTTCTATTTCTGACAATAATTTCTTTTTAAATAACTTAATTTTTCAAAAACTATAATAAAATTATGACTTATAAATTATTTTATGAATAATTTTTACAATTTTCATAAATACTAGATTGATAGAAGCATTTTAGTAAAAAATACTAAAAAAAATTGAATTTTTGAAAAGTTGCAAATGGTTACAGAAATTCAATTATTTTCAAAAGTTACAAAAATTCTTCGCAGAATTTCAATTATGTTCAAAAATTTAAAAAAAATTCTCGTCAAAATTTCAATTATCTTTATAAATAATAAAATTCTTCATCGAAATTCAATTATTTTAGAGAAATTTTAATAAAATTCTTGTCAAAATTCCACAGGAATTCAATTATTCCATATTTAATAAATTTCTTTGAAATAATTCAATTATTTTCATAAGTAATAAAATTTTCACAGGAATTCAATTACTTAAAATTCAAAATTTCATAAAATTTTTCGAAAAATATCAATTATTTAAAAAGATTTTTATAAAATTCGTCGCAAGAATTTAATTATTTAAAAATATTTAACATAGTTCTTTTCAAGAATTCAATTATTTTTATAAATAATAAAATTCTTCACCGAAATTCAATTATTTTTATAAACTTGAATAAAATTCGTTGTAAGAATTCAATTATTTATATAAATAATAAAATTCTTCACAGAAATACAGTTATTTTTATAAATTTGAATAAAATTCGTTGGAAGAATTAAATTATTTTCAAAAGTAATAAAATTCTTCGCAGAAATCCAATTATGTTCAAAAATTGAAAAAAAAAAAATTGTCAAAATTCCAAGTATCTTTATAAATAATAAACTTCTTCTCCGACATTGAATTATTTTATGAAAATTTTAATAAAATTCTTAGAAAAATTTTAATTATTTTAATAAATAATAAAACTCATCACAGGATTTTAATTATTTTTTATACAATATTTTAATCAAATTCCTCGATAAATGTAATTATTATTCTTAAAAATTTTATTAAAATTTGTCAAATGAATTCAATTATTTAAAAATTTATTGATAAAATTTTTTATGAGAATTCAATTTTAACAAACATTTAATTATTGAATAAATTATTTATTTTTTAATCTAAATAATTGAATTTTTCTAGAATTTTCTAATAAAAATTGATTTAAAAATGAATCAACGAATAATCGATTTATTATTATTTATGAAAATAATTGAATTATTGCAACGAATTTTATTACATTTTTTTTAAATAATTGAATTTTTTTGTGAAATTGTACTGTTTGTAAAAATAATTGAATTCTTGCGAAGGATTTTTTTTAGGATTTTTGTAAATATTTAACTTATTTTGAAAAATTTTATGATAATTTAAATTATTACAAAACATGAAGAAGGCGATCACTCCGAGTCGAAGATCTTTTGAAAAAAGATAAGATGCGAGAGAAAAGCAAAAAAAGGAACAAAAATTGGAAACTTTACGAGTTTTTAATTTAAATGAAAAAACTTCTTTGAAAATTGCATCATAAACTTTAAAAATTATAATTTTTACAATCCACTTTAATTAAAATCTACTTTTAAAATGAAGTATTTAATTTTTTAATAATTGAATCGCAAACAAAACGAAAAGTAATGTTAATGATATCGCAGTCTATGCTTCGGTTGAAATTGAAAATGATATAAATTTTGATAAATAATAATAATATTATAATAATTAGAATTATTATTATTAATTACAACCCTTCAGTTTCCAATTGTTTTAAGTAAGTTATTTATCTAATTATTATTTATTATTTAATTAAATAATTTATAATTTTTTGAAGTTGATTCGTTTTATCTGTCCACTTGCAGAATTTGAAAGCTTCGTTTACAAAGTTTATGTACTTAGACAGAGTTTCAATACTGTGCTAAAAAAAATTTTTTCTTTTTGAAAAGTTAAAGATTCTAGAGATATTCCCATATATAATATTCGTTTTAATTAATTCATTCTTTTCACACCTGAAATAAGTCATTTATACTTATGGTTTTGTATTTTTGTTTTGATAGATTATATTTTTATATTAAACTATTTTTTAAATCGCAGTGAAGAAACGTTTATTAATAAAAAATGTGTCTGCTTTTATTGATATTATATTTTTTGTGTTGACGACCCAAGTTTCGAAATGAGGTGCAAATTATTAACATTCATAAAATAGAAATGCAGTAAATTTTGTTCGGAATGTTTTAGTTTTTATGCAAAGCAGTTTTATTTTTGATATTCTGAGTAAATTTATTGAATGTCTTAGGTTTCATGTCTAATGGCCGCCTTCCGAAAGGGACATATAAAAGTAGTGAAATGGATGGTTAGTCATGTGACACAATTCCCCAGTGATCAAGAAATGACGAGGTACATTGCGACTGTCAATGACAAGGAGTTGCTGGAGAAATGTCAAGAGTGTGTGAAAATAATTCGCGCGGCGAAAGAGACCCAAGCAGCGAAGGCGAATAAGAATGCGACAATACTTTTGGAGGAACTCGATATGGAGAAGACGAGAGAGGAGTCGAAGAAAGCGGCAGCGGCACGCAGAAGAGAGAGGAAAAAGAAGAAGAAACTCGAGAAGAAGGAAGAGAAGCGAAAACTGCACGAGGAGAATAAGAAAAATGAAACCATTTTCGAGGATAAAGAGGATAATGGGAAGAAGTCTGGCGACGAAGATGGAGACCGAGGAGAAGACAGCGAGCACGAGGAAGCTGACAACAACGAAAGAATGGATAATGTACCTTCGCCGATAAACAGGAGTCCCGAGGATCCCGACAAGGAAGAGGGTGACAGTGGAATCGATGCCAACAGTCAGGGAAGCTGTAGCAGCAACGATGTGAAAGCGAGGGAGAAGAAGAAGGAAAAGAAGAAGAAGAAGAGTAGTAGTCCCAGTGTTAATGAGAAAGACACTTCACCGCACCGACCACCAAAAACTGTTTTACCCAGTAGTAGTAGTTCAAGTTTACCGCAATCAACAATTTCGCCGAGCAAGTCCCAAACTTCCATTTCCGAAAAGTAAGTCGCCTTCTCACTCTCCCCTCATTCTCCCTACATTCCAAGTTGAAGAATATTCAATATTCGGACTAAAGGGCAACGCTTGTTTATTACAGACGAAATCCGCCGACAACTGCGAGCGGAGTCACTGGACCATCGTCGTCGTCGTCGTCGTCGTCCTCCGCCTCCAACGTCAGGTCCTCGTCGACCGTCAACGCGAACGGCTCCAATGATCGAAAGCTCAAAATCCAACTGGTTTTCGAGGCGTCGAGGCATCCTGCAGACAGGGAGGACTTCGAGGCCACCGGAAATGAGACCTACATGCCGGGCAAGGGCAAGAAGGTCTTCAACAACCAGTTCGAGGGAGAGGCTTTAAACACATCCACTAAATCGAATTCATCAACGAGTCCGAAACAAGGGGGGAAACGCGAAGAAGGCTGGAAGGAGGTCGTACGAAAGTAAGGCTTGTTTCATTTTAAAAAACGGTGTTTGGTTCATTCCCTATATGTAGTCATACAGTTTATTTTTTTTCTTCTTTGTAAAATATTGTAGCGAACAATATTTGAAAAAATCGCCAACATGCTATGTGCCAAATATTGTCAAAATTTTATCTTCTCACTTATTTTTGTCAACAGTTTATGAATTTTTGTCTTTATTAGAATAATCATATGTATAAGCAGCATATTTTAATAATTTTATACAGGCACCAGTGAATTTTGAAATTTTTCCATTCATATTTTAAATAACTGTTTTCTTAATCCTTTTTTTTAACATTTTCTCCGCAGAAACATCTTTCACGGCAGATAATAAAATAATTATTGTTGTGTTCTTTTATTTTTATGTCATTTTAAACGTATTTTATTTACTTTACAGGTACTTGGTATTTTTGCAAATTTTTTATTCACTTATAATTCATAAATTATATTTAATTTTATATGTTAAGATTGTTTTAAAAAACTTAAAAGGTAGGGAAATGTTTTTATATTCTCGTCACAAGAAAGTATTGGATTTTTATTATTTGGATATGTGGCACAGTAGCAAAAAATGTAACTTCTTCGTTTGAAATCACAGGGCTCGAAGTAGGTCCGTAAATCCCGTACAAGTCCATAACCTTGCTTGAAGTCCGTAAAAATCAGTTTTTTTAAAAAAAGGTCCGTAAAGTCCGTAATTTCATTCAAAAAGGATGAAAAGTTGGTAAATTTTACGATATAATTTTGAGAATTTTAGAGAAATTACAAATGATTGCAGAAAGCCAATTATTTTTAAAAGTAATAAAATTCTTCGCAAAAATTCAATTATGTTCAAAATTTTTTTTAAATTCTCGTCAAAATTTCAATTATCTTTAGAAATATTAAAATTCTTCTCCGAAATTCAATTATTTTCAAAAAATCTAAAAAACATTGTCAACATTTCAATTATGTTTATAAATAAATAGCAAAATTCTTCGACAAAATTCAATTATTTTTCAAAAATTTTAATAAAATCCATTGCAAAATTTCAATTATTTTCAAAAGTAATAATATTCTTCGCAAAAATTAAATATTGTTCAATATCGAATATTTTCATAAAATTTACCAAAAGAATTTAATTATTTAAAAAAAAAATTTAATAAATTTCTACAAAAACTTTTAATTATTTTCAAAAAATAATAAAAATTTCACAAGAATTTCATTAATAACAAATTTTCGTTTATAAATTTCTTCGCAATCATTCAATTATTTTCATAAATAATAAAATTTTCACGGGAATTCAATTATTTTCGTAAATAATAAAATTCTTTTTAGGAATTCAATTATTTTCAATGGAATTTTAATCGAATTCCTCGAAAAAATTCTTAAAAATTTTATTCAAATTCGTCCAATGAATTTAATTATTTAAAAATTTGTTGATAAAATTTTTAATGGGAATTGAATTCCAAGAAACATTCAATTATTCAATAAATTATTTATTTTTGTATTTAAATAATTGATATTCCCGTAGAATTTTCTCATAAACATTGATTTAAAAATAGATTTCAGTTAAAATATCTTAGATTATAATAATTGAATTCTTTCGAAGAATTTCAATGATTTTCAATATCTACTTTTTGAATAAAATTTTCCATAATCTAAATAAATTCAATTAATTCAAAAAAAGTTTTGATAAAATTCTATGCAAATATATTTAATTATTTTCATAAATAATAAAAATTTCAAAGGAATTCAATTATTTACTAGTTTTTTTTTATAAATTTCTTCGCAATAATTCAATTATTTTCAAATAAATCTATAATAATAATCTTTTTGAATAATTGAAATTTTGTAAAATTTAATTGAAAATAATAAATTTTTTTCAAGTATTTGAATGCTTTTAATACTCGTGAATTTTTAGAAATTGTGATCTCCAGAGTGATTTGAAAAAACAAGTACATTTATCGCCACTGTGTGTTGGGTAAGCATTTGTAACACTCGAGGTAATTTTATTTGTTATTTTTCCATAGTGCAGACTTAGTTTTGTAATGCAAAATTTGTTTTATTTCAGTTCTGATTTTTAATAATTGTTCCTTTTTATCCTTTTCAAAATTTCACTGGTGTTTATTTTATATTTATAAGAAAACTGAAATATCAGTTATTATATTATAGGTTTATGCCACACGCATGGTTTTTTCTTCTTTGGCATGAAAATTGCATTCCATGTGAAATGATCATTTAAAATTCGTTTTCTTTGAAATAATTTCTTTTTAATTTCTGCATTCAGAAGAAGAAACGTATTTTTTATTTCATTAAAATTATAGATTAATTATCAAAATTTAAAAGTAATATACCAAATTTCATATTTAGTAAATTATTTCTACTCTCTTATCAACTAGAGAGAAAAAATCCATTAAAAAGTTATTTTGCTTCTAAAGACGTTAAGTTAAAAATCATAATTTTTAATAAACAAGATAGTAAATACCCGTCTTTCCATTTTTTTAAACAGAATTCAAAAAGAAATTGTTATAAGAAAAAAATTTTTACTGAAAGTTTTATGCAGAATGTTTAGAAAATAAAAGAACAGTATCTTCGTTAGTCATAGTTACTTTAGACATTTTCCAACTTATAATTCTATTATTCAACTATAAATGAAAATGTATTGAATGTAATTTTCAGTTTCTATTTCATTCCTTTAAATAGTATGGAAAATAAAAAAAAAAGAAATTTTTATACTGAATTGAAACGGAATGCAAAATTTTAATTACTTGATCCCTCTTTTCCAAAAGTTTTCTTATTCTAAAAAAAATTTATATTTTGTAGTTTAAAAAAGTGACAATAACGTTTATAAATTATATTTTTTATTTTTAAATATATTTCATAATTCACCATTTTTTCCCAGCAAACATTTTTTTTCATTTTGTATATATTTCATATATAATTTCAGGGTGGTCACAAGTTTCAGTTTATCAATTTCCCTGATAATTTACTGACATTAAAATTATTTTCCCTGACAAAATTCTTTTTACAGGAAAATATCAAAGTTTACGGAAAATGAGTAAAATTTATGAAATTTAATAATTTATAAAAATTACAATTCCAACCCTTCCTGAATTCAATTATTTTCTATAATTTTCAACTAAAAAAATTCTAATTAAGTAGTTTTTAAAAATTATTTTTATGTAATTTTTCGAAAACAATTAAATTTCTTAAAAGAGTTTTTGTATTGAATTTTCGGAAATCATACTGAAAATACTAAATTTTTAAAAATTACAAGCTAATTTTTATTAATTTTCATTTTTAAATTTACGTTTAAAGATTTTTCATTAAAATGTTTGATAATTTAATTATATTCAAAATTTGCAATTAAAATTCCACAAAAGTTGATTTCCAAAAATTGAAACAAAATACTTGAAAAAATTTTATTATTTTCAATTAAATTTTACAAAATTTTATTTATTCAAAAAGATTTTTATTATAGATTTATTTGAAAGTAATTGAATTATTGCGAAGAAATTTATAAAAAAACTAGTAAATAATTAAATTCCTTTGAAAATTTTATTATTTATGAAAAGAATCAAATATATTTGCATAGAATTTTATCAAAACTTTTTATGAATTTATTGAATTTATTTGGATTTTGGAAAATTTTATTCAAAAAGTAGATATTGAAAATCATTAAATCGAGGAAAATTTTTGAAAATATTTGAAATTTTGTGAAGAAATTTGCATTAAAATTTTTTTAAATAATTCATATTTTGCCAAGAATTTTATAAAGAAATTTTTAAATAATTGAATTTCGAATACAAATTTTGTTATTTTTATAAAGATAATTGATTATTTGACAAAAATTTTGAACAAAATTTTATTAAAATTTATTAATATAATTGAATTTTGAAGAAAATTTTTGTTATTTATAAAGATTATTGAAATTTTGCCAAGAATTTTATTAAAATTTTTAAAAATAATTGAAATTTTGACAAGAATTTTATTAAAATTTTTTAAATAATTGAATTTCGAAGGAAAATTTTGTTATTTATAAAAATAATTGAATATTTGACGAAAATTTAAAAATATTTTGAAGAAAATTGAAATTTTTCCAAGAATTTTATTAAAATTTTTTAAAATAATTGAATTTTGAAGAAAATTTTTGTTATTTATAAAGATAATAATAATTGAATATTTGACGAAATTTAAAAAAATGTATTTATTTATTCAAAATCTTTTTAATTGTATATTTCGAAAATTTGAATAGAAAAATGATTGAAAAATAATTTTTGAAAGATTTGTTTAGTTAATTTTCGCACTATAAAAATCGAAATAATTTGCATTTTATACTTTTAAAAAATGTGTTATTTTGTTGCAATATTTAGAAGAAAAGTCAAGAAAGTCGCAATTTTTGAAAATAAGTAGAAAGAAATCTCAATTTTCTAAATTTCCCCGACAACAAATTTTTTTTCCTGATATTTCCCTGACTTTACTGACAAAAATTTTGTTTTACTGACAATTCCCTGACTTTACTGACATGTGGCCACCCTGAATTTGTGAACAAAATTTTATTGATACAGAAAAGTGTAGATAATTTTAGTTGTTTTTTAAAAAGTAGAAAACAGTGAAAAGCGGACTTTCTTGTATTCCAAATCGAATATAAAGAAGGAACGACTCTTGATATTTATAAATTATGTTTTTCATCTGTTGTGATAAATATTGTAAATTTGTAGAAGCACTAATGAGCTAAACTGTATGAGTAGTTATTGCATCTTTATATCAGGAAAGAATGGAAATATTTTTTATTTTTCTGTTGAGGAAGATCGTTTAGGGTGGAGAAATGTAAGTAGTTACTTAATTACGTAATTAAAACTAATATTTATTTATAATTATATTGTGTAATTTACAATATTTTAGATTCTCTAAGAAAAATTTTAGTTTATTTATTTTCATTTAATTTTTGGAAATATTTACGAGCATTTTGTTTCTTAGGTAAGAATGATTGATGCCAATATTGTTTGTAGTGTTTTTCTTTCTGGAATTTAAGAAAGTAAAAATATTAATTATTAAAATATGCTGCTCCTGCTGTTGTCAATGTTTTTTTTATAATCAAATGTGGAATGGGAAAATAGTGTGAGTAATTTATTTTTTTGTTGTATGTACAGGGGTCAGTCGGATGATTCCGGTAGATTTATGAATTCCCCACATAGATCGAAAAAGATAACGGTCCCACCAAATGCAATTAGTCGAGTAATTGGTAGAGGCGGCAGTAATATCAATGCCATTAGAGGTGCAACTGGAGCACACATAGAAGTTGAAAAGCAAAGCAAATCTCAAGGAGAGAGGATTATTACCATCAAGTAAATATTTTTTTTAAAAGCGCGTTTCCATAAATAAGGCTTTTGTTTTTGGTAATTAATTAAAATTTTTCTTTCAACAGGGGTTCGGCAGATGCAACCAAACAAGCTCATAGTTTAATTACCGCTTTAATTAAGGATCCAGACGTGGATATTCAGCAAATGCTTCCAAAATCAAAACTTACCGTCGTTATGTCGTCCACTTGGGACAAAACTGTTCCTCCAGTTGCCGTAAGTGTGGATCAAATGCTTTTCTGGTAGTAAATGCGAATTTACTCGGAAACATGATTTTTCTTTTTTTTTCAGGCAACCAAAAGCAAAGTCGGTGGTGTTGTGAGCAAACCTCCTAGTCTTGTTACAAGTGCTTCGAGTTCTCAAGTGAACAAAGGTTACTCAGGAATACCAACGTCTGGGGTCAATCCGTTGCTTCCTCTCCGCTCATCATCAGCAATCAAACTCTCTGGCGCTTTTCCCACACCTATACCGAGGGCCACAGCACCGAGATTAGTTGCCGCGGGTAATTCTTTCAAAATTTTTATTCTACCAGTCAGGGCTCGAACTAGGTCCGTAAATCCCGTAAAAGTCCGTAAAAGACCGTTTTTTGAAAAAAGGTTCGTAAACTCCGTAATTTTATAGAAAGAGAACGAAAGTTCGTAAATTGAACGTTATAAGTTTGGAAATTTTGAAAAAGTTAGAAATTATTGCAGAAATTCAATTATTTTCAAAAGTAATAAAACTCTTCACAGAAATTCAATTATCTTCAAAAATTTTTTTAAATTCTTGTCAAAATATCAATTATCTCTATAGAAATAATAAAATTCTTCTCTGAATTTCAATTATTTTCAGAAAATTTTTAAAAAATTCTTGGCAAATTTTCAATTATTTTCAAAAATTTTTTTCTCAATTCAATGATTTTTAATATTTACTATTTAAATAAAATTTTCCAAAAGAATTTAATTATTCAAAAAAAATTGTAATAGAATTCTACGCAAACATTTCATTATTTTCATAAAATAGTAAAAATTTCATAGGAATTCAATTATTTACAAATTTTTTATAAATTTCTTCGCAATCATTCAATTATTTTCCTAAATAATAAAATTTTTCTCAGAAATTCAATTATTTTCAAAATAATAAAATTCTTTACAGAAATTCAATAATTTTAACAAAATTTCCTCCAAGAATTTAATTATCATTATAAAAAAATAAATTCTTAGCAGGAATTGAATTATTTTCGAAAATAATAAATTTCTTGACTGAAATTCAATTATTTTCAAAAACTTTAAACAAATTATTGACGAAAATGAAATTATCTTTGTAAAAATAAAATTCATCATAGAAATTGAATTCTTTGCAGAAACTCAATTATTTTTAAAATTTTAACAAAATTTTTGCCGAGAATTCAACTATTATTATTTATAACAAACCAAATTTTTCCGAGGAATTCAAAAGTTAAAAGTTTAGATAATAATTAAATATTAAAATCAATGTAGCGTGAATTTTTAGAAATAATTGAATTTTGAAATTAAGTTTTTTGGAAAAGTTTAATTGAATTTTTCTTTATATTATTTCAACTTTTTCTTTGAAAATTTTGTAAAATTGAATATTGTAAAGAAATTAATTTAAAAAGTGTCAAAGAACTTTTTCGAAAATTATTCAAAATAATTGATTTAAAGAAGAATTTTAGTTAAAAATTCTTGAAAATAATAATAATTTGCTTCATGTCTGTAAAAGTCAGTTTTTTTGAAAAAATGCCCGTTAAATCCTTAATTTGATTGAAAAAGGACGTAAAGTTCGTAAATTGTGCAATATAATTTTGGAAATTTTGAAAAAGTTACAAATGATTGCAGAAATTCAATTATTTTCAAATTTTTTAAAAAATTCTCGTCAAAATTCCAATTATTTTTATATAAATAATAATATTCTTTCTCAAAATTAAATTATTTTCAAAATTTTTAATAAAATTCTTGTAAAAATTTCAATTATTTTTAAAAATAATAAAATTTTTAGCAGAAATTCAATTATTTTAAAAAATTATCATAAAATTTTTCGCAAAAATTCTATTGTTTTCAAAACTTTTAATAAACTTCTTAAAAAGAATTCAATTATTTTGATAAATAACAAAATTCTTCGTAAAAATTCAATTATTTTTTAAAAATAACAAATTTTTTAGCGGGAATTAAATTATTTTTAAAAATTTCACAAAATTCTTTGCAAAAATTCAATTATTTTCAAAACTTTGAAATAAACTTCTTGGAATGAATTCAATTATCTTTTTATAAATAACAGAATTCTTCCCAAAAATTCTTTTAAAAAATAACATTTTTAGAAGGAATTCAATTATTTTTTAAAAATTTTCTTAAAATTCTTCACAGATCAAATTCTTCATGTTTTACAGTTGTGAAAAAATTTTATTTATAGTTTTAAGTAGAATTTTCTCTTATTTGACTCGGACTGGTTATATTTTTGTCATTGGTCCGTAAATTTTCATTTTTGGTCCGCAAAGTTCGTATTTTTAAATACTTTCACTGGTTCGAGCCCTGGGTCAGGGAAAACATGAAAATTTTATCTGAAAATAAAATTTTTGCGGCAACTGGCAACCCTGGTTATGCACATTTCACAAGGAATGGCAATGAGAATGTTTTTAATTTACAGCGGAGAAACGAGCGCAAGCAGTGGCTGCCGCTCAATTGTCATCAGCGGCGGCAAACACGAAGACGACCATGTCCTATACGAGCGCAATAATGACGGCCGGACGAGCGACGAAAATCGTCACAACCAGTACATCGCAAACATTTGCCGCGAAACTTTCTGAAATCACTGCCCCGACTCATTCAACAACCACAGTCATGCAATCAGCTCACAGTGCGGGGAGCAAGCAGAAGTCGTCCCAGGCCTGCACGATGACAATCATGTCGTCGACCGCGCCTGCGACTCCGCAGACCTCTCCCCTCCAATCTGTGGCCAACAGTTCGCCCAAACACTGCCGACCACTGCCGACCTTGTCCGCACCACCGACCATGGCGTCTCACTACTCCGCCAAGACCGGCTACGCTCCCAATTCCTCTGGCTCGACCATGTCCACCGTCACGAATGGATCCGACATGAGCGCCTCCAACTCGGTTCGCGTCACCCCTTCGCCGCCGGCCGCTCCCGCTCCGCAGGTGCAAACCATTCAGCCACCGCAGCACCAGATTCGCAGTTCGACTCCCGTCGCGCCGCCGATCCAGGAGCAGCAACAGCAGCAACAGTCGAGCACTCCTCTGGAGTACTCCCTCTTCAATGACACCTTCTCGAAAGTGGCGCAGCAGTCGATGTGGGGCGGTCGGGAGGAATCTCAGAAAGGAATGAACTTTGCGACAGTCGCCGGTGGAGGTGTTTCTGTCAACACTTCGGGCGCCTCGCCGAAGTTCATGGAGACAGCGCCGCCCCAGGTGGACGCGTCCAAGGCGCCCGGCTACAGAGGAACGTCGATGTGCTCCCCAGTCTCGAGCAAGTCCAACAGCAGCAGCGCCGCCCCGGGGAGTGCAATGGCCAGCGGAGTGTCGCCCTCGGGCGCGCCGAACCCCATCCAACCGCCGCCGCACATCCCCTACAGCGAGCACCCGCTGCCGAACAAGGCCCCGGGCAGCCTCGCAGTGGCCCGACCGATAATGTCCCAGCAGAACATGGACATCGCGCAGTTCAACCGCCCCGTCTACCAGGGCGAGATCGCCTCTCGAAACCCGCCGCCGCACCACGTGATGGCCTCGAGCTCCCAGGGCATGGACGTCAACCTCTTCAAGAGCAACGCCGCCGGCTACGAGCATCCCAACGTCAACTCCAGCCTGCTGAAGATGGTCCCCAACGAGGGCCAACCCGCCCACACCATCATCTCCTTCCACCCCCACATGCAGAGCTTCACCCAAACCATCGCGCCCTCCGTCACGGTCAACACCACCGTCAGCATGTCGCGCCTCAACCCCCGCGCGCCCGACTTCTCCAGCTCCCTCCACCTCAACAACAAGCCCCAAGTGACCATGTTCAGCGCCGGGACCGGAATCCATCCGAACATGTTCACCACAGTTCCAGCGCCGCCGCCGCCCACCGCGATGCAGTCCAACAACCTGATGCTCGGCAACTTCCCCCTCGGCAAGTACCAGGCGCCGTCGCGCGGCACGCCCTCCAGCAACGGGCAGACGCGCTGGCCCTTCGCGCCGCCGCACAACAACTACCCACCGCATCAGGACCCCATGATGGGCCAGATCGGCTTCACGAATCACTTGGCGAACATGTCCGGACAGCCGGGCAACATTGACCTGATCACGAGTCTGGAGAATGGCGGGTCGCCGGCCATGTCGCCGTCGTCGCCGGGACAAATTGCTCAAGACATGAGTCAGATGAAAATGGAGGATCGCAAGGTGCCGAGACCAATTGGCACGGAGAGGGCTTGGAAGAATTATTCGACTGGCATGGGACCCGGGGGCGATGCCGACTCCATAAATTGGATGCTGAATGAGAAAATGGTCAGCTCTTGGACTGGCTTGAACCCGGGGATAGACAGGCATCAGATGTTCCGGTCAAACACGTCATTTAACCGCACTTCCAACATGGACACTGATTTGCATCAGATGATGGACTCGAATTTTCAGGTGACTTTCTCACATTCACTTTCTTCTTGATTGAAGCATTTGGTCGGAGAAGGAATTCATTTATGCAACTCAGGCGTATTATGATCACTTTATCTAGCTGTAGAGGCGCACACTTGTAACCCCCCTTGTGACCAAGCGCTCGATAAACTGTTCATTATTGCCCTAGGTCAATAAAGTACCCATTATTACCCTAGGGCAATAAAGTGTACTTTATTGACCGCTGCTTAAAGGTCAACAGGTTTCACAGTCTGTCCCCTATTTCCCTAAAAAGTCCTATTTCCCCTTTTTTTAATTTTGGCCCCTAAACTTCCTCATGATTGCCACAGAGCCACAATCCTGGAAAACTTGGAAAAGGCATGGAATTTAGAAAAGGGTATAAAAAATCTGGAAATAGAATGGAATTTAAAAAAATTTCTCAAATTTCGCGTTTTTAAAGATTTTTAACAAAATTTTAATTTAAAATTGAAAAATAGTTGTCAATTATTTAACTATTATTTCCAATACATATGTAATTAAATTTTTTCAAAAAATTGAATTTATTCCATAAATAATGAAATTCTTTGTATCAATAAAATTTTTTTAAAAATAATTTTCATAAAATTCTTTGTAGAAATTTAATTAATTTAAAAAATTTGTCAAAATTCAATTATTTTCAATGTCTACTTTCAAAAAAATTTCACAAAAGAATTCAATTATTTAAAAAAAAAATCTTAATAAAATTTGTCTCAAGAATACAATTATTTTCAAAAGTATTATAATTCTTCGTAAAAATCCAATTATGTTGAAAAATTTACAAAAATTCTCGTCAAAATTTTAATTATCTTTACAAAAAATAAAAAATCCTCTTCGAAATTCAATTATTTTTAATACAATTTTCATCAAGTTTCTCGAAAAATGAAATTATTCTTAAAAATTTTATTAAAATTTGTCAATAGAATTAACTTATTTAAAAATTTTGTTGATAAAATTCTTTATAAAAATTTAATTTTAAGAAACATTTAATTTAATAAAATATTTATTTTTGTAGTTAAATAATATTGAATTCTTGTAGAATTTTCTAATAAATATTGATTATAAAAATGAATTTCAGTTAAAATTTTAGATTATAATTGAATATTGAAAGCATTATAGCGTAGATTTTTAGAAATAATTGAATTTTGAAAAAGTTTCAAATTAAAATCTTTCGAAATTTGAACTTTTTATACTTTTAATTAAGAATTCTGTAGAATATAAATTTCTTTCAAAATATTTAATGGAATTTTTTTTTAATTATTTAAAGTTTTTAATTTCTAATATATTTAAAATTTAATTGAGTAATGTCAGAATAAACGAAATTTCATAAAATTAAATTGTAAAGAAAAGAATTTGAAAATTTTCAAAGAACTTTTTGAAAAATTATTTTTAAAAAATTGACCTAAAGAAGAATTTTAGTTGAAAATTCTAGAATGAATAATTGTAATGATGACAATTTTTGAAGAAGTAATAGTCACAAAGTAGCAAGTTTTAATTATTATAAGTTATTGAATTTCAAATTTTAAAAAAATTTAATTTCTTTATGAAAAAATAATGATTAAATATTTATTTAAAAATGAAGTTATTGATATTTTCGAATAATTTTCGTATTAAAAACCTGGAAAAATTCTGTTTTATAACCTGGAAAACCTGGAAAAGACAGGGAATTTGAAAAGAGCAAAACGTGGCAACTCTGTTCCTCTATTTTTTTCTTTTATCTTTTAATAATGAATTTACACCAAATTTAGCAAAGTGCCGTTGAAAGTTTCAATTGGAAACTTTTGTTTTAAAAGTTTAAAATCTTGAAATTTATGATCGATGACATTTTTCATGAAATTTATAAAATTTGTAATATTAGTATTTTGGTGAAGTCAAGTCTCAATTATGTTTAGAAGTTGGTTGTTTTTTTAATATTATTTAATTATTACAAAAGTTTTAATGCAATTATCTTAAAAATAACAAAATTCTTCACAAAAATTCAATAATTTTTAGGAATTTTAATAAAATTCTTTACAAAATTCAATTATTTTCAAAAATTTATAAAAATCTTTGCAAAAGTTCAATTATTTTCAAAAGTTTATCGCAATTCAACGAATTTCAATATTTACTATTTTCATAAAATTTATCAACAGATAAATAGATAAATATATAAATATATATAAAAAATAAATATAAAATATAAATAAATAAATATAAAATATATATAACAGATAAATATATATTTATAGAAAAAACATTTTGATACAATTCTACGAAAAGATTCAATTATTTTGATAAATAACAAAATTTCATTTAAGAATTCAATTATTTTCATCGCAGAGTTTCAAATATTTTTAATTCAATTCTAAATAAATTCCTTGAAAAATGCAATTATTATTAAAAATTTTATTGAAACTTGAGGAAAGAATTCAATTTGAAAAAACATTTAATTATTCAATAAAACAATAAAATTCGTTGCAATAATTCAAATATTTTCATAATTATAACACCGGGAAATTCTTCTCAAGAATTAAATTATAATAAATTTCATTCAAATTTTAATTAAATTATTTAAAAGAAATTAAATATTTTTAAAATTTGTTAATACAATTCTTCGTAAAAATTAAATTTTAAGAAACATTCAATATTATTTATTTTTGTATTTAAATAATTGATTTCTCGTAGAATTAAATTATTATTTTTCGCACTTTTAACTAACAATTCTGTAGAATTAATTTTTTTGAAAAAATTTAATTGAATACCTAATAATAATTGATGTTATTGATTATTTATTGATTTTTTTTTTATTTATTAAATATAATTTTAATTACATTTTTTTGAAATTATTAAATTATTCTTTTAGATTTTAATAAAATTCTTCCCAAGAATTCAATTATTTACATAAATAACAATATTCACTAAAAAAATTCAATTATTTTAACAGTAATAAATTTTTTCTTGGAAATTTAATTATTTTAAAAAATTCTATTAAAATCGTTCGCACGAATTCAATTATTTTTATAAATATAATAAAATGCTTTTTAGAAATTCAATTATTTTCAAAAAAATTTAGTAAAATGCCCCACAGACATTCAATTATGTATTGTGAAAAATTTAATTATTTTTAAAAACTTTTTGCAGTTTAATGGTTTTCAATATTTACTATTTTCATAAAAATTCAAACAGAATTCAATTATTTAAAAAAATGTTGTAAAAATCTACGTAAGAATTCAATTTTTTTCGTGAATAATAAAAATTACTCATAGGAATTAAATTATTTAAATTAGAATTTGCATAAAATTAGGCGAAAGAAATCAATTATTTAAAAATTTTTACAAATTCTTCGCAAGAATTAAATTATTTTTATAAATATTGAATGAAGATTAACTGCTGAGAATGAATTGTCCATGATGAATTACACCCAACGCTTCAATTATTTACAGTTTATTTAATTTTGAAGAAGAATTTTTTTGATTTTATTTTATTTTCAGACTCATTTAGATAATCAACAGCAATTCCCCAACGGAAATACAGCTGCAGTTTCCTTGATGCCAAATTTGTCGATGTTGCCAGGACAATATACATCCTCGGGAATATCGGAAATTCAGCCCAATGAATCTGCTAAAATGGAATCTCCAGCTTGGGGAATTTCTGACTCTGTTCAAGATAAGCAACACCCGGTAAGGCATCACCCATTACAATCAAAATCATTTCATTTCTTTAGCTTTTTCTTCGACTAATTCGACTAATCATTTTATTGTCATTTTTCAAAATAATGGAGGGAAGTTCGCCACATTACAATTCATTTTATTCTTCAAATTTGGAGCTAGAATTTTGCTTCAAAAAATTATTGGTTAAACCATTTTATGATGAATTAAAAAAAAAAGAATACTTTACATTAAAAAAAATTTTTTTTGACTGAAAAAACTTACTTACTTTTAAAAATATAAAATATAAAATTTTAAAATATAATATTTTAAACTGACATTTCAAAAAATTGATCTAAAGGTTTATAATTCTGTGGAAGAAAGGCATAACAGCATAACTGACATTTTTATCAAATTTGAGATAACATCAGATTTGTATATATTTAATATTGCTCTTCAAAGTTCAATAGCTGAAAAATCATTAAAATGGTTATTAATGTAGAAAATAATGGAAAACATAATCGCATAATTGCGTTTTTGACAAAAGGAGACCAGCATAATAACATAACTGCATTCAGCTTAAAAAACAATTGACATAATTAAAAATGAAAATAACCTTTATGAATAAAAACAATAAGAATTTTGTAATAAAATGTTTTCAGTAAAATACATTTTTCGTACTTTAAAATAAATATATTTATTTTAATAAAACTGGAACAAATTTTTTATAGCATAAATTGTGCATTTAATTATGTACTAATTTTTAAGGGTATTTCTATTCTAAAAAATTTTGGAAAGTATTTAAAAAAATAAATTGAAAAATTCTTCAAGTTGAACAGTAAAGTAAATTTTTTCTTCGTTTCAATAAATTAAAAACATTTTATAAAAAATAAATTTTATAACTAAATAAATAGGCCAGTCGGTGAGTGCAAAAAGTGCACAAAAGTGCAACTGGAAAAGTCTCAATAGTTTCTTGTAGTTTGGGGGCCCCATATAAGAGCCCCATGGTTTGCTCTCGATTTCCGGTTGCAAAAAATAGTGTAAACAATCGTCAAAGTTCGAGAAACGTAGTTTTTCGATGACCCTTGCTTCCGGTTAAATTTTAGAGGAAAAAGTTGTTATTGAAAGTTGTAGAGCCTAAAAATACCTTTCAAATGATTGGTCATACGTTGAAAAAGGTTAATTAGTTTAGTTGCAAATGAATTTAAACCATTAAAAATAGCACTTTTTTAATTGTTTAATAACTTTGTTAATAATTATTGAATTTGTTTACAACTCACCAGGAATATTCTCCTTGCGAAGCTGAATAAATTAAAAAAAAGTCAACTCGATCGGACAAATAGTTTATGTTTTATTCCATTTGTTAACTAAAAACATGAAATTTTTCAACAGAATTTCCCCACTTTTGGACCTGCGAATTTCGTTTTTTTTTCTTCCAGAGTACAGTTTAGGAGTCAAACTTTGATTCCATTTAAATGGGAAATTGATTTTTCTTATCTAAGTGCATAATAATAGACGTTAAAAAAGGGTATGTTTTTTTGACATAAACAAATGGAATAACTCAGTCAATTTTCACTTTATCGATTTGGTGTAAAGGGATTTAAATTTCATTCGTTTTCACAAAACTTTTCCAAAAAAAAATCCGACCTAGCTTCAAGGAGGGGGGAGTTAGTTTATTTTTTTCAAAAAATTCCTGACTAGTTAATTATCAACATTTTTAATTGCAATTCATACCACTTATAGTTCAATGTATGTATTTTATGAAAAAAAATTGGACATAAGGTTTTGTGCATTTATTTTTAATTTATATCAAGTAAAAGTAAATGTATCCATTTTTCAACCTCTGAACGGCGGAGTGGGGGTACTCGGAGGAGCGTGATTCTCGCCGCCACAACTGAATTTAGCTGTTCAAATTTGCAAAAATGGTCATAACTTCGTTAATTATTTACCGATTTTTATCTTTCTTTTTTTAATTTGATGTATTTTTTTACGCTGAATCCAAAAATAATTTTATATGTTTTCAAAATACAATATTTTTAATAATAAAAAAGAAAAAATTTTTAACAACAAATTTTTAATTATTATTTATCATATTTGACAAAAAATTCTTTTCGTACATATAATTCCATTGAATTTAAAATAATATTATGACATAAAAAAATTAAAATTAATTATATATAAGTGTGTAGCATCGTTGTATTGATAGTTGAACAGGCGTGCATATGTGAACCTGATGCTACACACTTATATATAATTAATTTTAATTTTTTTATGTCATAATATTATTTTAAATTCAATGGAATTATATGTACGAAAAGAATTTTTTGTCAAATATGATAAATAATAATTAAAAATTTGTTGTTAAAAATTTTTTCTTTTTTATTATTAAAAATATTGTATTTTGAAAACATATAAAATTATTTTTGGATTCAGCGTAAAAAAATACATCAAATTAAAAAAAGAAAGATAAAAATCGGTAAATAATTAACGAAGTTATGACCATTTTTGCAAATTTGAACAGCTAAATTCAGTTGTGGCGGCGAGAATCACGCTCCTCCGAGTACCCCCACTCCGCCGTTCAGAGGTTGAAAAATGGATACATTTACTTTTACTTGATATAAATTAAAAATAAATGCACAAAACCTTATGTCCAATTTTTTTTCATAAAATACATACATTGAACTATAAGTGGTATGAATTGCAATTAAAAATATTGATAATTAACTAGTCAGGAATTTTTTGAAAAAAATAAACTAACTCCCCCCTCCTTGAAGCTAGGTCGGATTTTTTTTTGGAAAAGTTTTGTGAAAACGAATGAAATTTAAATCCCTTTACACCAAATCGATAAAGTGAAAATTGACTGAGTTATTCCATTTGTTTATGTCAAAAAAACATACCCTTTTTTAACGTCTATTATTATGCACTTAGATAAGAAAAATCAATTTCCCATTTAAATGGAATCAAAGTTTGACTCCTAAACTGTACTCTGGAAGAAAAAAAAACGAAATTCGCAGGTCCAAAAGTGGGGAAATTCTGTTGAAAAATTTCATGTTTTTAGTTAACAAATGGAATAAAACATAAACTATTTGTCCGATCGAGTTGACTTTTTTTTTAATTTATTCAGCTTCGCAAGGAGAATATTCCTGGTGAGTTGTAAACAAATTCAATAATTATTAACAAAGTTATTAAACAATTAAAAAAGTGCTATTTTTAATGGTTTAAATTCATTTGCAACTAAACTAATTAACCTTTTTCAACGTATGACCAATCATTTGAAAGGTATTTTTAGGCTCTACAACTTTCAATAACAACTTTTTCCTCTAAAATTTAACCGGAAGCAAGGGTCATCGAAAAACTACGTTTCTCGAACTTTGACGATTGTTTACACTATTTTTTGCAACCGGAAATCGAGAGCAAACCATGGGGCTCTTATATGGGGCCCCCAAACTACAAGAAACTATTGAGACTTTTCCAGTTGCACTTTTGTGCACTTTTTGCACTCACCGACTGGCCTAAAACTCTTATAATTTTTTCTAACGAATTAATAGTTTAATTTGTCTTTGTATGAACAATTTTTTATTATGAAAAATCAAACCAAAATAAATTGTGACATTAAAAGTGTCTGAAGTTGGACTCATATACAATCTGAACTTGCATAACCGCATAAGTGCAATAAAACTCATGATTTCGATGAAAAATTATCAAAATTTATATCAAATCGTGTGTTTTATTAAATGTTATAAAAGAATTTTGAAAATATATTAAATAATAATACTAAATGCAAAAGACCGAACAAATCTGTTAATTTTCTGAATTGACAGAAGTGAGAGAACATTAAAATTAATTTATCTCGAAATCATGACAAATGCAGTTATGCTGTTATGCCTTTCTTCCACAGAATTTTCCTTAGAGAAATCTAATCCATTTTAAATTTTTGGGACATGTAATTTTCGCTAATTTAATGTCAGTTTGCGACTTGCAATAAAAATTAAAGTCAAAATAAATCAACTTTTATTTTAAATATCTGTTCAAAAACGTTTTCAAATATTTATTTGTTTTAAATTCATTAATTTTCATTATATAATTTAATAATAAAAAATATTTCTTTCTAAAAGTAGTGTAAAACCCAAAGTGAAATTTTAACAATAAGAAAACAATGCTTTAGTTTTTATAATCCAAGCAGTTTGAATAAATTATTTTTTTTCAGTTAAATATTTTAAAATATAAAATGTAAATATAATTAATTGATATTTATTTTTAAAGGTGTAATTTATGTTTTTCAATTAATTAAAGTATTTAAAAATATAAAATAAAATGTAAAAATGTTAAGGGGATTTTCTGGCGCAGAATTGGTAAAAAAACACACTGTTTTAAACTCTTATTGTAAAATAGTATATTATAGTTATTGCAAAAATTTCTTTTGGATATTGTTACATATTTCAAGAAGAGAATTAAAAAAAAAATTTGAGTATTTTTAGTTAAACAATGCTAAAGCATTGTTTTCTTATTGTTAAAATTTCACGTTCATTGGATTTGGATTTTCGATGGGATTTAGGGAAAAAGTTAAAACTCTGTATAAAAATCAGCAAAGAGTCAGGGAATAACGAAATTGAATTTTTTAATACCCCTGTGAAAATAAAATTAATATTCAAATACAGGGTTGCCACGCAACCTGGAAACCTGGAAAACCTGGAAATGTCAGGGAATTTTGATCGAAATCCTGGAAAATTGTTATCTTCTGAAGTTTATTCTTGAAATCTAATCTTACATAAATATTTCAAAATTAATTCAATTTTAAAAAAGTTGCGTTTACAATTTACATAAGTACAGATGAATTTCAAAAGATTTTAATTTGAAAATTTTGAATGAATTTAATTAGAAATCGTCTTAAAGAACGTAGATTTTTGAGAAATTTTAATTATTCTAATTCTTCTGAAATTAATTAAATTTTTTAATATATATTTTTAATTTAATCAATTAAAAATAATGTATTTATAGAAGAATTTTAATTAAAAACACTAAAAGAAAGTGAATTTTGAAGCAATTACAAATGATTGCAGAATTTCAATTATTTTCAAAAGTAGTAAAATTCTTCTGAGAAATTCAATTATTTCCAAAAAACATTAATAAAATTCATGGCAAAATTTCAATTATTTTCAAAAACTTTTATCAATTCAATGATTTTTAATAAATCTACTACTTTAATAAAATTTTCCAAAAGAATTTAATTATTTTAAAAAAAATAATAGAATTTTTCGTTAACATTTCATTATTTTCATAAATAATAAAACTCATCGCAGACTTTTAATTTTTTTAATACAATTTTAATGGAATTCCTCGAAAAATGAAATTATTCTTAAAAATTTTATTAAAAATCCTCAAAGAAATTCAATTACTTTAAAAACTTTTGCTGCAATTTATTTATTAGAATTTAAGTATTATTTTCTATAAAGTTTTAATTAAATTTATTCAAAATATTAAATTATTTTAATAAATTTTAATGAAATTTTTTGTAATATGTAATTCAATTTTTTTTCAAAATAATTTTAATAAAATTCTTTGTTGAAATTTTAATAATTTTAAAAATTGGTCAAAATTAAATTATTTTCAATGTCTACTATTTCAATAAAGTTTCATAAAAGAATTCAATTCTTTAAAAAGACATTTTAATAAAATTCGTCTCAAGAATTTTATTATTTTCAAAAATTAATATAATTCTTCGCATAAATTTAAATGTGTTTAATAATTTACAAAAAATCTAGTCAAAATTTCAATAATCTTTATAAATTTTTCTCCAAAATTTAATTATTTTCTAAAATTTTAATTAAATTCTTGGCAAAATTTCAATTATTTTTAAAAACTCTTAAAAAATTCTTTGGGGAAATTAAATTATTTTTAATTAAAATTTTAATCAAATTTCCGAAAAATGAACTTATTCTTAAAATTTTTATTAAAATTTGTCAAGAGAATTCAATTATTTAAAAATTTGTTTATAAAATTCTTTATGAAAATTCAATTTCAAGAAACATTCAATTATTTAATAAAATATATATTTTTGTATTTAAATCATTGAATTCTCGTGGATTTTTCTAGTAAATATTGATTTAAAAATGAATTTCAGTTGAAATTTTAGATTATTATTGAATGTTGAAAGCAATATAGCGTAAATTTTTAGAAATAATTGAATTTTGAAAAAGTTTCAAATTAAAATCTTGGAAAATTTGAACTTTTCCTACTTTTAACTAACAATTCTGTAGAATTAATTTTTTTTAAAAAAGTTTAGTTGAATTTTTCTTTAATTCTTAAAGTTTTTATTTTCTAATATATATTTAATTGAAGAATGTCAGAATAATCGAAATTAAGTAAAAATTAATATTGAAAATAATTGAATATTTATACGAAGAAGTTTATCAATTTTGAAAATAATTGTACTCTTGCTGAGAATTTTATCAATTTTGTAAATAATTGAATTCTTGCGAAGAATTTTGTGAATTTTAAAAATAATTGAATTATTTCGAAGAATGTTATTCAAATTTTTTAAAATAATTGAATTCCTGCGAATAATTTTATTATCTATAAAAATAATTAAATTCTTGACAAGATTTTTAAGGAAATTTAGTATTAATTTTTCTCAAAAAGTTTAATGGAATTTTTTTTTAATTATTTGAAGTTTTTAATTTTTAATTTTTTTCATTGAAGAATGTCAGAATAATCGAATAATTTTAGGTAAAATTGAGTTGTAAACAAATGGATTTAAAAATTCCCAAAGAAGAACTTTTTCAAAAATTATAAAAAAAATTGAGTTCAAGAAGAATTTTAATTAAAAATTCTAGAAATGAAGAATTGAATTGAAATGAAAATAATTTTGAAGAAATTACAGTAACAATATTTTTATAATATAAAATAATGATAGTATCAAGTTTTAATTATTATAAAACATGAAGAAAGCGATTACTTCGATCGATATCTTCATGTTTTATAACAAATATTCTTATATGTTATTAAATTTAAGATTTTTGAAAATCTTAATTTCTGTAAAAAAATAATAATGATTAAAAATTCATTTAAAACCGAAGTTATTGATGTTTTCGAGTAATTTTACAATTAAAGAAATTCGTAAATAAATGTTATAGAACAGGAAAAAGTCGTTTTGTCTGGAAATCAGGGAGTTTGGTAAAATTAAAAATTAAAATTAAAATTTGGTAAAATATAAATGTAGTTTTAAAAACCTGGAAAAATTCCGTTTTTTAACCTGGAAAACCTGGAAAAGTCAGGGAATTTGAAATGAGGAAAAGCGTGGTAACCCTGAAATATTTAGTAGAGTCCCTTATATGTTCCTTTATTCTTTTAGTATGGCTAACAATAAACTGATTAGAAAGAACGATTTTTGTTAATAACAAGTATTTTTGTCAACAAAAATTTACATTTCCTCTCCGATCGAATGTTTTACAGAATTTATCTATTTGAATATTTTGTTAAAATGTTAATTTTTTTTCAGGGATGGAATAAGTGGACTCATTGAGCTGCAAGAAATCTTTCTGCTGATAGAGCTTTCCTAGAGTTACATGAACCAAGAGGGAAGAAAAGAAGACGACTATGAATATGGAATGCAAAGTAGTAGTAGTAGACGAAACTGGCCCCTTGCAAATTCGTTGATTTTTAACACCACGTAAATTAAAATACTACTTCAACACTTGAATTCACTTACACACTCATACACACACCCCAATAATACTTGTCATTGTAGATGATAAGATGGTAAATCCTTATTGCTATTATCTATAAATACTTACTCGATACCGATATTAAGTGGATATGGTGCGCGGACACTACTACAATTTAAAAAAAAAATGATAAAAAAAAGAAAAGAAAAATTACGAGCACATCTTTTGCTACGGCGATTCTTAACCGTTGGTAGTTGCATAGCCTCCGTCATTCTTGAATTAGTAAACAAAGAAGCTGATTGATTCGTCCTCACTGTGAACAATCAATCAACTTCTTTGTCTGATTCAATTATTTCTTTGTGACGCGTCGCATTTTTTCGTTTATCTGATTATAAATGTTTATGCAACGACATTCAATCGATTAACGTTCCAAAAAAACGTAATCACATTCGTAATTTTTGCGAGTTATTTATGTTGAAAGTACATATTATCTATTATTATCCTCTACAGTTATTATAATTATTGAATATACCAAGATTCATGTAAATAAGAAATGACTGTGAAATTTCAATTTTTTCAATGCCATTAACAAAAAAAATTAAAATTGAAATGTCGACCATCCTTTCCTCTAAAAAAAATCATGTACCTTCCGTTTCCTTTAAATCACACACACACACACACACACACACACACACACACACACACACACACACACACACACACACACACACACACACACACACACACACACACACACACACACACACACACACACACACACACAGACACAAAGACACAAAGACACAAATGTTCCAAACGCTCTGAATGGGGAAAATAATTTTAAAAAAAATTTTAGAATCTTCCGCACTGTGAAAGAATATCAAAAACTATTCAGAATGTTTGGAACGAATATATATATATAACTAAATTTGATTTATCACTCAATTTTATAGGGCATCAAAAATCTTATTCCATTCTCGCATCCTCTTTAATCCATTCTTCCAAAGTAAAATTTAAAAAACTAACAAATCCTCTAGAATTCCCTGAGGAAACTACTACTAAATCTTGGAGTAAATGGCTTTTAAACTGGAGATTGACCTCTCTTTTTGCAGAAATGATTGAGTTTTAAAAGGATCTAACTGATACACTGGGGAAAACTCAAAACGATTTTCTTTAAACTAACGAATAGACATGTTTTTAGCTAGAATTTTCTATCGAGGTCGCATGTGAGGACGACCAGGCTCTCTGTGGGATAAAGAATAACATCAAGAAACAAAATACATTAAATGAAAGAGCTAGTGAAAGTTTAAAAGTGGCCATCGATACCCTAAGCACATGCAATACCTTTATGTATATCGAAAGCTATTTGATGAATAATTATTCATTGTTAAAAATGGTAGTGGGCCGTCGATACATAATATAATTATTCTGCATCCCTAGCGACAGTAATATTATAATATACTATTATTGCTACGGTGGTAATATCGTTTATGATTATATTATGGTTATTATTACAAGAAAAAAAAACACGTAAGTTTAGAGAAAAAAAATGATATAATATAGAGAATATATCTACTTGCATAAAAATCACTCTGATCCATGAATGGAATTCAGCGTGGTGAAATATAGAAAATACAACATAACTCGACATAATATATAATAAATATATATATATTCGAGTGGAAAAAAAATGATGTTCATTTTGATTGAACATTTGGGAAACTTTCTTATTGATGGGAGGATTCCGGTGAGTGTTCAATACATTGGAACGACAATGTCATTGAAACTGTCCTCCAAATGAGCCTCGATCTAGCTCATAAAAATTATAAGCGCTTTCGACCTGTAGTTTCAGGGAGCGCTTTCATTATTCTCGATGATTGTTATAATTTAAAGCCTATTTTCAAATTTGATTTACGATAATAACTGCGATATGATATATAAAACTATTATATGACATATAACAATAAAGCAAATAAATAAATATCTATGTAGAAACTGAATTTAAACTTCCTAGTTCGTTTAATATTATCAAGTGGGGGAGACTGACTTATAATGGATAACAACAATTTTTAGGTAGCTTCAAATGTAAAACATTGTCTATTAAAAAGTTATAATCAAAAAATTCTAATTCTAATAAAGAGCTGAACTCGTAAGTAATTTTCAAATTTATAAGCTTATTCAGGGTTGCCACAGGTCAGGGAATTCAGGGAAAAGTTAGGGATTTTTACTAAAAGTACTGGAAAAAATTAAATTTTTAAAATTCATGAGAAAACTCTGAATTTTGATGTTTTTTTTGTTTGCATCGTAAACTATGAAATTACCTCGAATTTTTTAATTCAAAACCTTCAATTTTTACCATTTCTGACAATAATTTATTTTTAAATAACTTAATTTTTCAAAAACTATCATAAAATTATGACTTATAAATTATTTTATAAATAATTCTTACAATTTTCATAAATACTGGATTAATAGAAGAATTTTTGTAAAAAAAATTTTTAAAAATTTAATTTTTGAAAAGTTACAAATAATTTCAGAAATTCAATTATTTTCAAAAGTTACAAAAATTCTTCGCAGAATTTCAATTATGTTCAAAAATTTAAAAAAAATTCTCGTCAAAATTTCAATTATCTTTATAAATAATAAAATTCTTCATCGAAATTCAATTCTTTTTAAAAATTTTAATTAAATTCTTGTCAAAATTCCACAGGAATTCAATTATTCAATATTTAATAAATTTCTTTGAAATAATTCAATTATTTTTATAAGTAATAAAATTTTCACAGGAATTCAATTATTTAAAATACTAAGTTTCATAAAATTTTTCGAAAAATATCAATTATTTAAAAAGACTTTTATAAAATTCGTCGCAAGAATTTAATTATTTAAAAAAATTGAACATATTTTTTTTCAAGAATTTAATTATTTTTATAAATAATAAAATTCTTCACCGAAATTCAATTATTATTTTTATAAACTTGAATAAAATTCGTTGTAAGAATTCAATTATTTATATAAATAATAAAATTCATCACAGAAATACAGTTATTTTTATAAATTTGAATAAAATTCGTTGGAAGAATTAAATTATTTTCAAAAGTAATAAAATTCTTCGCAGAAATTCAATTATGTTCAAAAATTGAAAAAAAAATTGTCAAAATTCCAAGTATCTTTATAAATAATAAACTTCTTCTCCGACATTGAATTATTTTATGAAAATTTTAATAAAATTCTTAGAAAAATTTTAATTATTTTGATAAATAATAAAACTTATCGCAGGATTTTAATTATTTTTTATACAATATTTTAATCAAATTCCTCGATAAATGTAATTATTTTTAAAAATGTTATTGAAATTTGTCAAATGAATTCAATTATTTAAAAATTTATTGATAAAATTCTTTATGAGAATTCAATTTTAACAAATATTCAATTATTCAATAAATTATTTATTTTTTAATTTAAATAATTAAATTTTTCTAGAATTTTCTAATAAAAATTGATTTAAAAATGAATTAACGAATAATCGATTTATTATTATTTATGTAAATAATTGAATTATTGCAACGAATTTTATTACATTTTTTTTAAATAATTGAATTTTTTTGTGAAATCGTACTGTTTGTAAAAATAATTGAATTCTTGCAAAGGATTTTTTTTAGGATTTTTGTAAATAATTAACTTATTTTAAAAAATTTTATGATAATTTAAATTATTACAAAACATGAAGATGGCGATCACTCCGAGTCGAAAACTCGGAGTGATCGCCGTCTTCATGTTTTGTAATAATTTTCTTAAAAGTTGTAGAATTTCGAAAAGGTTTGAATTTCACTGTTTTGAAGAATTTTAATTTCTACAGAAAAATAATAATGATTAAATATATATTTAAAAAAGAAGTTATTGATGTTTTTGAATAATTTGACAATTAAAGAAATTTGTAAATAAATGTAATAGAACATTGTTTTTGAGTATCTAATAATTTTTAGAGTGAATCAGAATTTTCTTTAGGGTCAGGGAAAAAGTGAAAATTTTGTCTGGAAATCAGGGAAAAGTCAGGGAAAAATAAAATTAAATATTTGTGGCAACCCTGTTATTGAAAAAATATAATTTTATCCATTGTTAGAATGTTTGTTCTACAGTAAGTAATTGTCATTTTTATTATCTACATGATTGCCACAGAGCCTGGAAATCCTGGAAAACATGGAAAAGGTATGGAATTTAGAAAAGGGTATGGAAAACCTGGAAATGGAATGGAATTTTAAAAAATTTCTGAAATTTCGCCTGTTTTTAAAGATTTTTAACAAAATTTTAATTTAAAATTGAAAAATAGTTGTCAATTATTATTTTTGATTTTTAATACAATTTTAATGAAATTAAAAAAAAAATTTAATTAATTAAAATTCAGCAAAGAAATTCAATTACATATTTTAAAACATTTACAATTTATTTATTACAATTTAACTATTATTTCCAATACACATGTAATTAAATTTTTTCAAAAAATTGAATTTATTGCATAAATAATGAAATTCTTTGTATCAATAAAATTTTTTTCAAAATAATTTTCATAAAATTCTTTGTAGAAATTAAATTAATTTAAAAAATTTGTCAAAATTCAATTATTTTCAATGTCTACTATTTCAAAAAAATTTAACAAAAGAATTCAATTATTTAAAAAGAAATCTTAATAAAATTTGTCTCAAGAATACAATTATTTTCAAAAGTATTATAATTCTTCGTAAAAATCTAATTATGTTGAAAAATTTACAAAAATTCTCAACAAAATTTTAATTATCTTTACAAAAAATAAAAATTCCTCTTCGAAATTCAATTATTTTCAAAAATTATAATAAAATTCTTGTCAGAATTTAAATTATTTTTAATACAATTTTTATCAAGTTTTTTTGAAAATTGAAATTATTCTTAAAAGTTTTATTAAAATTTGTCAATAGAATTAACTTATTTAAAAATTTTGTTGATAAAATTCTTTATAAAAATTTAATTTTAAGAAACATTTAATTATTTAATAAAATATTTATTTTTGTAGTTCAATAATTGAATTCTTGTAGAATTTTCTAATAAATATTAATTTAAAAATTAATTTCAGTTAAAATTTTAGATTATAATTGAATATTGAAAGCATTGTAGCGTGGATTTTTAGAAATAATTGAATTTTGAAAAAGTTTCAAATTAAAATCTTTTGAAATTTGAACTTTTTATACTTTTAATTAAGAATTCTGTAGAATATAAATTTCTTTCAAAATATTTAATGGAATTTTTTTTAATTATTTAAAGTTTTTAATTTCTCATATATTTAAAATTTAATTGAGTAATGTCAGAATAAACGAAATTTCATAAAATTAAATTGTAAAGAAAAGAATTTGAAAATTTTCAAAGAACTTTTTGAAAAATTATTTAAAAAAAATTGACCTAAAGAAGAATTTTAGTTGAAAAATCTAGAATGAATAATTGTAATGATGACAATGTTTGAAGAAGTAATAGTCACAAAGTATCAAGTTTTAATTATTAAGGCGCTAGCACAGCTCCTACTGCCTGCCCAGTAAAAAAAAACTAATTCAAATGAATTGAAACGAATTAACATTTTTGGTAGGCTCCAATTCGTATTTGTCACAAAGCGGGATTCACTCAAGCTCTTTGTATATTCAATTGAATTTAATTCAATATGTACCAAATTGTCCAAACGAATTCGCATTCGAAAGAAATGGCCAAGGAATGCATTGAATTCGTGCTAACGAATTGAAAAAAATTAAAGGCTCAAAACTTGTCCAGTGAATTGGTACGGATAGAAGGTTCGGAAGTTCAATACAGTTTCACGAATTCAGGAAAATTGCATCATGGCTCCAATTCGTATTTGTCACAAAGCGGGATTCACGAAAGCTCTTTGTGAATTCTTTTTAATTCATTTCAATTAGTTTTCGTTTACTGGGTGCCTGCCTGCCTGCAGGTTGACATGGTAACACATAGGAGTAAGAGAGTAAGACAATTCAAATTAAATGTTTTTTCTCTCTCACTCTTATGGCGCCTGCCTGCGCAGGCAGGCAGGCAGTGAGGTGAGAGTGTACCTTTATAAGTTATTGAATTTCAAATTTAAAAAAATTTTAATTTCTTTATGAAAAAATAATGATTAAATATTTATTTAAAAATGAAGTTATTGATATTTTCGAATAATTTTCGTATTAAAAACCTGGAAAAATTCTGTTTTTTAAACTGGAAACCCTAGAAAAGTCAGGGAACTTGAAAAGAGCAAAACGTGGCAACCCTGTATCTAGCAAGCTGCAAAGGTACATCTATTAGTAGTTGAATATTATATTTCTTATTTATATTATTTTAAAGGAAAAAAATTTAATCGACATTTTAAATGACAATATTGCAATATATTATATTATTGCATTATATTGTTTATACAATCATAAATTATGAAATTGACAAGAATTCTAATACAAAACGTTCAATTTTTTTCTATTTCTGACAATAATTTCTTTTTAAATAACTTAACTCTTAAAGAACTATCATAAAATTATTACTTAGAAATTTTAGAAAATATCAATTTTTAATGAATTTAAAATTTTAAATATAAAATTTAAAAACAACTTATTCAGGGCTCAAACTAGGTCCGTTAATCCCGTAAGGGAAAAACTCAATTGTATTCAAGAATTTTAAAAAATTTCAATTATCTTTAAAAATAATAAATTTCTTCTCTGAAATTCAATTATTTTCCAAAATTTTAATCAAATTCTTGGTAAAATTTCAATTATTTTCAAAAGTTTTCTTAAATTCAATGATTTTCAATATCTACAATTTGAATAAAATTTTCTAAAAGAATTCCATTATTAAAAAAAAATTTGAATAAAATCCTACGCAAACATTCAATTATTTTTAAAAGTAATCAAAATTTTTACAGAAATTCAATTATTTACAAATTTTTTATAATTTTTTTCGCAATAATTCAATTATTTTCATAAATAATAAAATTTTTACA